AAATCACATTTTTGATTGGATGGATTGTGGAAAGGGCCTACAAAAGGGAAATAACAGAGAGGTGTCCAGAAAATCTGTATTTCAAAGTGATTTTACAGAACAAGTTCAGTTTACTGTCATCGTGGCTACTCTCTATGGAAACTTTAATTGTTAACAAAAAGTCTGTGTTATAGACTTGGGCAACTCTTCTGGCTGCAAAAAGAAGTCTGATTGTATAGAAGTCTATGAGAAAATGCCCCTACTTCTCACTTGATTTATTTACTTAGACCATAAAGCGGGGTACGCTTTAGGGCGTTGATCGGTCTGGTTGTTGTCCGTGTTTTCGTCCTAGAACTTTAACCCTTTCACAGTGTGTTTTCAATACATTAAAGTTAACTGTAATGTGTTTGGTTCCCTGAAAATGCCTTATTCAGTGTTCGGTTGGACTTAACTCCTCCCTCTTGTGTCACTTTGTGGTCGCAAAAAGCCAAGATGTCGATGGACGAACCTCAGGCTTCAGAAGGGCAGTCCACAAATCAATGAGTGACGTCACAGTGACTACATCCACTTCTTAGAGTCCATGATCTAGTCGGCACCAATTTTTGCCTGGATTTTAATATTTATACAAACAATGACCATATTATAAATAACAATAAATCTTCATATTCTGAAAATCTTAAAATATTAGGTGAGGGTGAAACACTTGACCCTGGAGATAGTACAAAAAAAATCGTAACTCAAGCTCCACTTACACGCTATTTCTGGAGCTTTCAACCGTGTTTGACTCCCTGTCAACTATGAGATGTGGTTTAAAGCTCCAGAAAAAGCTCACTTTAAATTAAATCAGATATTTTTAGGTGTGAGAGACGCAGGTAGTAAAGGTCAGGCCCCAATGGTCATCTGGGTTATGAAGTGAGCAGTTGCAGTTCAAGCCACCATTTAATGTGTCAAGACCCAGTGGATCAGTGCTCATCACCGGAGGCCTCAGGGGTCACATCTCCCTACACTCACCAAAATTCGGACACGCTTGCTCGAGAAGGGGAAGAAGTGATATGCGAGGAGGAGCCGGAGTGGAGTTACATAATGGCTAACGCCCTGCGTCCATGTGCTGTGTCCGCTGGCAGATGGTGTATTGCCCAACAGTCAAGGGCGAATGGACATATGAAGCAGGGGAGGGATGGAGATGGGAGGAACAACACGCGATGTGGACACCGGTCACCGCAACGTGAAGGAGGGGATGACAAGGGAACGCTAAGCTGCTGTCACTGCCTCATTTTTCCTGTATAGTAATACTGTCTGGGGAGACACACATCTACGACTTTACATGTCACTCACTGTGGCCCCTCATAAAATCCAGCCTCATTATATTCCACATCTTTAAATGTTTGTTGAGAACGGACATGCTCTACAAAGATTCCCAACCAGAGGTACTTCTATCCCAGGGGTACTTCTGCAGTTTAATAAAAAATACATACATCCATATACTGCGTTTAGGAGGAAAATAACAACCTTCCACACAAGATTACAAAAGATAAATTTGTCACAATAACCAGGAGACTAGCAGCTACAATACGTTAAGTTTTGTACTAAGTGTGCTCAGTGTCTCTCGTCAGCCTGAGTCAGCTGTAACACTTTTATATGGAGAGTGCATGAAAACTAGTTAGCAAGCTAGCAGAGATAGCTACCTAAAAGTTAGGTTAAAGTAATGATACGTGGTGTAAAAAGTTAGTTGAGAACAGTACTTAGCGAAAGTAATGGATGAGAAATAATTAGCTAAAAGTGATGAATAAACAGGCTAGATAATATATTGAAAGTAATGAATAAATAACTGAAATAATTAGCTTAAAGTATACTGGATAAACAGTTGAAATGATTAGCTAAAATTAATGAACAAACAGGTTAATAATTAACTAAAAATAATGGATAAATGGTTGAAAAGTCCAGCTTCACTGAAAGTTGTAATGCGAAGGCAAACAGTGACAATTCAACTGTATGATAAAAACGTTGACAGTCAGAATCACTGCTTTACAGTCTCTCATTAGCATCTCCCTCTCTTATCCCACGTTTACTGTGTTTGTCTATATTTATATTGCTGTTCCTAGACCTTGTAAACACGCCGCTAACCAAACAACATGCGTCTACTCTGATAAAGCAGAAAGAATACCAGCATGCTTTGTCTAACTCTTGATCCTGCAGTAAACGGTTCAAATCCTCATCTCTCTTTGGCCGGTGAGGTCTCTTCATGCAGACAGCAGACGAAGCTTAGTGCTGGAGCTATTGTGACATTTCTGTCTCAACACTGAGCGTGACGCTTTCCGTTTACTCTGTTATGTCAACACAAGGCCATGCAGCTGCTAGCATTTACTTTATCTTAGACAAAGAATCCGTTTGGTCAGAAAGGCAAGTTTCTACCCATAGCTCCGTCTCTAGTTTGTTATCTGCAGTGCAGCATGGTTAGTTTCATTAGTTAATAATGAACAGACAGTCATGGAGCACCGGTGAGGGACAGCATGTTGGATGAGTTGCTGTAGTCTAGCCTGGCAGGGAGTTGCCACTCTGTTCATTATTTCACTGCTGTGCATCATGGAGGAAGAGGAACATGAGACTGATGGCAGGAAGTGATTGCTGCAGACGTCAGACCACTGACAGAGTACAGCGACATGTAACTGACACAAAACAGAGACTCCAGCAAAGACTCGGCACCTCATTTGCCCTTTCTCTCAATTTTTCCTCTTTTTAGTCTCCGAGCTCGCTGCAGGAGGACGTCCTTAAGACTTATGGCATTAATGTCAAATAGTTCAACTGGAAACCAATTCCAATTTTTTTTGTACAGCAACTTTTTTCAGTTTCATCCAACTAAGTTATGCATTAAATGTAGTGAGGAGTGGATGAAATTTGTAGGAGGCCTGGTTAAAAAAAACCTTTAAATGGTGAAACATCTGTTTAGGCAGAAATGGACTTTGCCTTTACGGACCGATTTGGCTCGAACCAAAAAACTCCAGGAAGCAAGAAGTGTTCTTCAACGACTTACGGGTCAGGTGCATGGAGGTATAATAAGACCTGGATACGGCGCCCCAGTCAGCCTTGCTTCCAATTTTGCTCAGTGGCCACAGACGTCACAATCTGTGACGTCATCACAATTAAAAGTCTATGGGCCAAGCTGGACCAGTGGGCGGGGCCAGCTGTAGAAAAACTACTGCCGCATACGCCCGGGAGGAAACCTGGAAGCTATCGGAAACTTTTTTGGCGTATGCACCAGGCTAGCCCACACTGTCACTAACTGCACTCCTTGCATTCATAACATCAATTCTTTTGAAAAACCGAAAAAGTGATTACAAAAGGGTCCACGATATGCGTTTGTAGGATATATCCAGAATGATAAAAAACTGATAAAAAGATAAAGAAAGAAGCTAAAGCCTACAGATCACAGTGCAAAAGTAAACGACCACATCACCGGCAATCGAGACAGCAGACAATGAAAGTAAGCAAGTAGGTTTTTATTCACTGTTACAATCATTTAAAAGCAAAATTTGGATGGATTTCCCCAGATCCATTGATAATGTTTCCATTCCCTGCTGCATATACCATGCTGCTCATATTTCTGACACATACAGTAGCTTCATTACTTTTTAAATACCACCACAGCTCCTCTCACAAGAGTGTTGGTCTGCTATAAGCTCAACATCACGGATGCTCACTGCTATCATGACCCAGAAAGTAAAGCAAGATGATTATCTATTCTATTCTGCACAACCAAGGCTCAAGTAATAAAGTAAACCTGATCACAGTTTGGGCTAAATATTGGCCAGAGGCTTCAAACAAACAACAAAGACCGACCAATCACTCTGAAGTGTGCGTGCGTGTCTGCATGCGTACAAGTGACAGATAGCATAAGACATCTCCACATCTAACTTTCCAAACCCTCATTGTCAAAAGCTACTAGCGACAAATCTAGATACTTTTTCTGGTGTTGTTGGAGACTTTTCTGGTGTTTTGACTCTGACGTGAAAGCCCCTCGCGCAGCAGTCCCAGCTGCAGAAAGAGGAGACCCACACTCTCCGTGTCCAGACTGCAAATTAATTGCGCATGCGCAAAGCCGCCGCTGTTCCCACCTCTCTCCTCCAGCGCTCATTACAATTAGGCGATGACGTCATTTAGCGACTTCTAGCGACTTTTAGGACAGCCAATAGCTACTTTCCTTACTGAAGAGTTGGCAACACTGTGTCTGTTACATATGAAGGTGGGGCCGGTAACAGATTGTTTTTCTTTTGCATTAAGACTGGAAGTAGGGAAAACAGCTAGTCTGGAAGAAAGTCTTAGTGCATGTAACCTGCAAAAGCACAATTTATCATTGTCACATTTGTTCATTAATAAGCTTTAAAGGTGAAAGTAGGCGTCATTTTTTAAACTTTGCACAGAGCCAGGTTATCTGTTCTCGCCTGCTTCTAGCCTTTATGCTAAGCTAATCTATTTGCCTCCTGGCTCTTGCATCATACTCAACATAAATGCACGAGAGTGAGTTCTCCTCAATTAACACAAAGCAAGAAAGCGAAATAAGCACGATTCCTAGATTGTCAAACTATTCCGTTAAAGCTACTACGAGGATATTTAATCATGTGTTGATTTTGGCAATACCTGAGGACAAAAGCGTTAGTGTTTCCAAGACCCAGAGTCCCTTTAGAAAACCTCTAATTTTACAGCAGCGGTGTCTGACAGTCTGCCCCGCTCAGTCCTGGTTCTGCCCTGCCCTCCTTCCCTCCAGTGGGCCCAACAAAATCTTCAAACGGCAAGCATTAAGAATATGGAGATAGCCAATCTTCTCGCTGATGGTGTCATTACCTTACGTAGGTCATATAGAGGCATAAGTATTCAATTGAGACTGTTTCATAACCAGTTAAAAGTAACTTTAAATTCAAATTCAATCCTTTGATCACAAACTATCTGCACGTCTAGATGCTATTCGGGATAAGTCATTGAATGTGTAGTAAACATCCAGTGAAACAAACTAGCCAGATCCTTACCTTTTCCTGGTATTGCCGCCTGGATGAGTCCAGAGACTGGATGAGTGCGGTCGCGTGGCCGATGAACATGGCGTAGCAGGTGGCTCCGACGATCATGCTGAGCATGGTCAGCCAGATGTCCGACATGCTCTCTGGGGCTTGTCTTCCATATCCAATGCACAGCATGTGACTCATGGCCTTAAAGAGGGCGAAGGAGTAGAGCTCGGTCCACGAGTCGTTCTGTGGGGAGAGACGGAGGAGAAAACAAGTTAGGAAAATAAAATATAGGGCAGGTGGAGGAGGATAAAGAGGAAAAAAATCAGGGTTATTGTGTCCTCCTAGAATAGCTCCTTACTTTTATACTGTTACTTTCATCCTGCAATGATTCTTTATGACCGAAGCCATTTCTACTAGACGGTTAGAGTGCGACAGAAGTGATGATAGAGAGAGTGAATTAAAGAACAAGAGGGATAAAGAGTAAGACGTTCCTGTGTAGGGCTCTGTTTCTGGTGATTGTTTCATGTTTAGTGGAGAGACTTATCATCATCATCATCATCATCAGTGAGCAAAGCAGAAGGAGAAGAGAAAAAAACAACAACAATGGTGTTAATGAGGAGCCTGTAGAGCTGCCTGCTCTAGTATGCCTGTGATTGGTGCTCACACGTTCAGTCAACCCTAATTCTCCCACGTTAGATTCATTGTAAAGCCCTCCACAGGAGTCACTGAGCCTCACATCCTCCCCTCAAACAGCTGTGGCTCTCTCACACACACACTCACACACACACACACACACACTGTCCGAGGTTCACCGCTGTTTGTGCGTTTCTTCTTCTGTCCCTCTCTGATACGAGTGGAGCCTTCAGTCACTGATTGACTGCTTGGATTTGTATCTGATTTATGTTTTTTCCAGGAACATTTGCATTTCATTTGAGATTCAAATTTGGTTGGTTTTTTTTTGGAGGTGAAAGGACGTACTGGCAAGAGACTGCCGCCAAATGGAAATGTGTGTTTAGAGAGGTGATTGGAGGAACAGCAAAGAAAGAAAATTAGATTTTAAAGGTACTTAACATTATGGAAGCAAGTAACCAGAAACTCTGCCGAGTGGACGACTGTGAAAGCCGAGCGTGGCTCAATGTTTCCTATCTGTTGGTTTGAGGAGATAACAAACAGAGAAAGCCACGACAACAGTTTACAGACTTTAAGGTTACAAGAGCTTTCTTCTCCAGCTTTGATGTTATTTCAATAATACGCAGCTCTGTAATCGATGTCCTTGTCTCACTGCCATCCTTAAGCCCGTCAGGATAAGCAATATTTCAGACAAACCCGAACAGAATATTTGAAACACTCCCGCTTCAGTCTGAGCCTCATCCCCACTGTCCCCACGAGTGATGAACGGACTGGGAGTCCCTCCAGTCAGCCATCAGCATGCTGACCGCACTGCTGGTGGATGAACAGCGTGAGAAGGAAGCCCTAAGCCAGAGCTCAGGCAGAGAAATAAACACCTTCTTACACATGGCTGCATCTGTCTGTCTCACTCTAACAGACACACACACACACACATTAAGACACAGTATTTCAATGGACAGAGTTTAATACTAAGAAAACACCGCTGTTATAAATGATGTGCCTAACTATTTCTTGGCCGTAACTTGGTAGAGTCTTCGCTGGTTGCCTGGCAGCTAGCTGTTTTCATCTGCTTCCAGTCTTTATGCTAAAATCCGCTCAGCAGCTGCTGGGGGTTAAGCGATCATATTTAATGGCCATGCTATATATGAGACTGGTATCAATCTTCTTGTTTACTGTAACTCTCGACAAGCAGAATTGAAAACAAAACAAGTGCATATTCATTAACGTGACCGTATGAGCAGGAAGACAGAGACAACACAGCCTGACCAGCTGTAACAGGTCAGTGCGTGTTTAAGTTTGAAACAGCAGCTGATTAAAACTGACAGTGTGCAGCTGTCTCTTACTGTTGAAAATGACATCGCTCATGGTAACAAAATAAACGAATTCTACAGAGATACCACCCTGTGTGAGGAGGGGAGGGGGCTAATGAAATCAGCTCTGGTGTGCATTTTATTTGCCATCGATCTTCACTGAGCAGCGTGGATGAGAGCTAATTGCACATAATACATTTAGGCAGGAACACAAAAGGGAGTACGGGACATCTATGATACATGATGGGGTAAGTATAGAATAGTGAGTGTACGTGCATGCTGGCATGTCCGTCTGGGCTAACATGCTGTTTGAGACTCAGCTTGTATTTGAATATGTGTGTGTGTGTGTGTGTGTGTGTGTGCGTGCGTTAGACCTTTGCCAGTCATGCTGCTGAGCTTCCCTTTGACAGGGTGCAGTCCCTCTCTGACAGTTTGAAAACTGACACTGCTTTAAAAGGAGTGTCATTTAGATGACACTGACATTTAGGATTTTAATATGTAAACTGCCACAAAAGACCTTGTTAGCAATGTTAGTATTCATTATTCAGAAGCAGCGTGTTTGTGTTTGTGTTTGTGTTCATTATTTAAAACCAAATGAGTACGGGAAGCTGCAAGATGGTCTGGTGTCTGCTGGACGATTTTAATGAGGAATGCTGACGTTAAAAGCAAAAAGGATTTCTCTTGATTGGAGTACTCATGCATGAAGTTAAGTTGGATTGTGTGTTAATGTGAAAATAATGGACAACATTTCAGGGCTTTGTGGTGGCTGTGTTTGAAAATGTAACCGTAACATCACGAGTTTGAATTCATAACCTGAACTGGAACATTTACTTTCTCTGAATATAATGGGCAGCTTATTAAAAGGTCTTGGTTCACCAAATGCAGCATTTTTCAATTTTCTGTCCAACTTAACATGCAGCTGCACGGTGCAGCTGTAGCCTATAATTATTATCTTTTATTCTAGAGAGCCGGGCATTGCACCAAAATAAGGCAAATACAAATAAAAAGTAAAGTGTGTTGCTGATTTGAGTCTTCATGTCAGTCTGGTTCATGGAAGTTTTTCTCAGCCGACTCCTGTACATCTTTAATTGAATTTATCAGATGTGAAATGGATTCTTGTAAACGATGTTGCAGGAATTTAATTGATTTGCGAGACGAATTGGACTCGGTGGATCATAGCTTTGCTGCTCAATAACCTGTTATTGGGTTTGAGTTCATTAGCTTTAATAGTCTTTGACAGGAAGATGTGCAACAGGATGTGCTTGAGGAACAACTTCCAACCAATAAATAGACGAGATGAAATGATCATGGCTTGTTGGTTAAACTGTATTTCCTGTCTGCTGTACAGTGGAGACTGAGCAATCTAATTATTTATCATTGAACATATAAAAAGGTTACATCAGCTACAGAAAAGGGAATCTATAACATTTGGGAGAACAGATTTATAATTTGAGCTCTTCCTATCTTCGCACATGTACTTATGTATATTAATATTGTTAACTTCTCCCACAGATGTGGGACCAAGTCCTTGTTTTGCAAGTCACAAGCAAGTCTCATGTCTTTACTCTCAAGTCCTAAACCTTGAGATTCAACTCCTAGACAACTCTTCACAAAATAACTTTTCAGGGAAAAGATAAAAATTCTGTTTGCTCAGTTCGTTTTTTTTCCCACGAGTAAATCAACAACAGATCTCTCATAAAGTAAATAGAACCAATATCTCTGACGCTGTTGGAGAACCTCTGGTACCGGGCAGTTGATTGCCTCAAGCACACACTTGTTAAATAACATATGTTTTAGTCATTGGGCTTCAAAGAAAGGCACTAAGTATTTTTTCAAGTCCAAAGGCTGTCCAAAGTCACGAGTCATCAAAGTCTTTTTATGATTTTGTCAAAAGTCATCACATTAGTGACTTGAGTCCAAGTCATGTGACTCCACACCTCTGTTCTCCCTCTGCCAAAAACAAAATACAAAGATTCAATGAGATTTGTTTCTCTGTAAATTGTCGTCTCACCCCTCCGTTCACTTTGTTGTATCGGCCTCACTACATATAAAAACGTTCAGCTGTTCTTTAGCTGGCTACATTTTGCCAGCTTGACATCTGTTCGTTTTTATAAGAGTTGCTAGTTTCATCCTCCTCCCTGAGGGATTCAACCTTGGCAGAGCTGCAATAGAGAACACCACAGCTTTCATTCTTTTGCTTTCAGCAAATCAGAAAATGCAGCCATGCAAGTGGAACTTTGTGTGGACAAGGTGTGTCCCGAGGGATACACGCTGCTGGAGCACCACTGTAACTAATCTAAGTATACGAGGAGTGACTTGTTTGCAGAGGGGGAGCGGGTTCAGTCTGGCCTTAAGGTTCTCTGAAGCAGGGACCCCTCAAAAGGGATGAACATTATCCAAGGAGCCCCTCTTTATCATAACACCGATTAAGCATATGCTTACTACCAATTATACTAGATGCTATTTGAATTAGTTTTCTAAAACTTTACAATTCTTAAGGACCTGTTTCATAGTGGTGAACATCATATCAATACAACTTCTATAGCTTTTAAGTTTATGGTTTTCTTTCAAGTAATTGATCTTCAGAAGATGATCGGTAGCAAGACTGGCGTAGTCCTAAAAAATCCAGATTTAAAATGACCAAATTAAAGTGCTTCTACTTAAAAATAATGAATTTATTGCTGTTGGTCTCAATCATAATGGACAGAACTATTGTTTTACTGGCACAAATGATCCCCATCTGTAGATAAGCACTTTTTAATGATACAGCACAATTTTATAGTTCATAGCAAAATATTTGGCAGACCCCCTCACAGTGTGCCCTACTTTGACAATCGCTGCTCTGAAGGACCCACCTTCGCCTTTTGGCCGTGTCCTTCACAGGATCCAGCCTCTGGATTGAGACACAGCTGTAGATTTGAGACTGCTGTTGGTGTGCAACCATGTGCATCCAGAGAATGTGTCTAGTTGATGATGCAAGCTGTGGCCATGTGGCTCAAGCCCAAAGCATCTGTGCTGCTAAAATCATGGCACGTACGAGGCATAAGTAAGACGAAAAAAATCTATACTACTTTTAGATTTAACAAAATTGGGAAAAGCCAGACTGACACGCCAACATTGCTTTTTTAGCCACTCTAGCCTGTCGGTCGTTCCACCCCTTTGGTCCAGACTGAAATATCTGAACAACTATTGGATGAATTGCCAATAAAATTTTAATTTGTCGTTTATGACTAAATACCTGCAAAAACCAGTTAATTTGTGTTAAGAGCTATTTAGCAAATGTTAGCATGATAACATGCTAAACTAAGAGGGTGAACATGCTAAACATGCAGCAGCCAATCACAGCTGTCAATCATTTCAAGGCACACCCCATTTTTTGTCAATCAAATAAGTAATTAAAGCTAAATTTTAAGAAAAATGACCACTTGAATATATGTCAGCTTCATGAAACCTAAAGTGACAGAAATAACCTTGGGGGAAATTATTTTTTGTTTGGCTCATTTCCCATCAGCTAATATAGAGAAGACAGGGTTTACTACCTATACTGCAGCCAACCACTAGGGGGCAATCACGATGTCATGGAGCATTACCTCCCTTACTATTTCCAGAGTTTAAGTTGTTATACTTCACGATATAAAGATGTAAAAAAGATGTAAAAAAAATGGATGAATATTTATCCTGTATTTCAATAAACACCTGAACTCATATCACTACTTAGCTAAATATGACAAGACAATTGTTTTCTTAAAATGGGGTTGGTTTCACTGGGGCAACTTGCCCCACAAACACAGACTGGGCAGCAATTTAGTTTGGTTGTTGCTGGCTTACACATGGCTTGATCCAGCTTATTCAAGAAAGTCAACAGTCTCCAAACTTTACTTGATTTTACTTCTGTTTCAAATGCATTATAACATAATACACATAAATTACTTAACCTGTGTGATGTCTCAAACATCCTGCAACTACCTTTACAGAAGGATCCAATCAATTTCCACATGGCACTCACTTTGCCTCTGTTCTAAATCCCTCTCAGTACAGTAACACTCATGTTAAATGTTCATCTCCGATGACTGTATTTTAAAAATGGATGTTGTGTTACTGAGATCGTTTACACTTTATAATGCATGAACCAAATAAGAAGTAAAGGAAGCTGTTGGATCATAACAAGCAGTCACTCAACTCACACACCAACACCTCCACACAGTAACAGCCCATTATTCTTATGCATGCTGACAACCCTGCCTGCCAGTTACATCACTTCAGTAATTAAATGAATGGGGGATATCCTTATTAACTTTCACAGCAGGAGGGTTCCTTGAACTGCATATGTGTGTGTGTGTGTGCGAGGATACAATGCACATGCATAGGTGATAACGCCACACAAATGTGTGTTCTATTGCAATTCTAGCCCTACAGTAAAATATCCCTCAGCAGCCTAAACTATTAAATACAGAAACAGAGCTCAGACTCAAGCAGGAGAGGAAGAGAGAGGCTTTATTCTAATGCCACTGATCCATGAGCCAATCGGGATGAGGCAGATGGGACAAACCCACCCGTCATCCACCTTACAGAGAGCCACTTTAAATAACAGGCCATGATGATCTGGTATCTTGTGATCACTATGCTGCAGGAGCCTGATTGTTGGTTCTTATAATAAAACACCATTGTCGGCTACGTGGACATCTTTTACAAGTCACAGATATTGTTTTTGATGTTTTGAGGCAGAGCTGAATACATTACAGGAAGGGAAATAGTTGGAAGGAAGCTGTTTTTATCAGATCACATACACACAAAGACAGACAGACATATATTCATGTGACAGCAGGTGTAATAGTCCACATGAGAGTGCCCTCTGAGCAAGTGAATGAATCATGTGTTGTTTCTATCCGGCTGTATTATAGCCTAAGTGCAAGGATGAGTCCAGTAAATGTCCAGTGCGGGCAGAAGTGAAGCAGGAGGATGAGTATCATTTAACGCTGCGTCTCCTATTCAAAGCAGCTCTGAGGAGGATCTCTGACCTCGATTACCCCGAGACGGAGAGCAGCACCGCAGAGCAGGCGGGCCGCGCCCACATGGGAGCTCGCTGGCTGGCATTGTGGCATATCGCTCGGAAAATTGCACACGGACTTAAAGCGACGCGCATCACTCTCTGAGGCATCAAAGAGACAGCTGTACGTAAGCACGGCGAGCTGGAAGAGAGGCAGGAAAGGGGAGAAGCCTGACAGCTTAGAGAGCAATTTATTCTCTCTACCTTTTGGAGATAATTAACATAATACACAACAATGTTGTGATGCAATATAGAAGCTGCCCGCTCTCTGAGATTGGAAAAGAAATCGGCATCAACACAAAATGTATATTTGAGTTGGAATTAAATTCTAATAAGGGGCTGTTATCACTGCATCTATATTTGCACATGTGAGCTGAGAAAACAAGTCCAGATGCCAACGGAGCAGAAGTGTTGGAGCACAAGCGGAGACTCGTAACATCTAAACAAAGTCACTTTATTCTCTCAGTCAAACTAAGTCAACAAACTAAGTCAACGTCCACGAAGTCGAAATCGCTGTTCACTGCATTTTAGGCTTCTTGTTAGCCTCCGTGTGTGTGTGTGTGTGTGTGTGTGTGTGTGTGGAGAGGGTAAGAGTGAGAAAAAAGGATGGCTGGAGATGAAACAAGAGATGGAGCGATAGAGAAGCAAGTGATGTCCCCCAGGGTCAATGGGTGTGAGATCCATCTGTTCCTGGATATCACACACACACACACACACACACACACACACACACACACACACACACACACACACACACACACACAGACAGCTATGCACACCAGTACGCACACCACCGTGTCATAGCACACAGCGTTTTTCGAGGGCTGAAAGTGACAAACCTACTGTATGTGCCAAAACTAGAAGGTTCATCATATGAAGCATTTCTTAGAGATTCTTAGACAGACTGCACAGGAAACAGCTGGTGCACGACATATGCTCGAGGACGGAATCATCCAGCTCTGCTTCACTTCCCTAGACACAACAGTCATGTGATGTTCGATCCATGAAATAGAATAAATTACCTCGCAAGCCAGTTATTTGCAGCTTCTGACGAGACAGTAAAAAGTCAACCAGGAACATCTTTAGGCTCCGTCACAATGGTGAAAGGCTAGTTTGTGAGACAGATGATGTTGATGTCAAGCCATAGACTGTGGACATAGTGGACGTAGTGATGTCACTAGGACTGTAGTTTTGAAGCCTCGAGTTCAGCATTTTGGCCGTCGCCATCTTGTTTTTTTGCAACCAGAAGTGGCACAAGCAGAGCTAAGTCAAACCGAACGCTGAATAAAACCTTTATAGGTAAACAAAATGGTTACAATTAATTTTCATGAACTGAAAACATTGTTAAAGGGTTAAAGTTCTAAGAAGACTGTCAATAGGACAATCATTTACTAAATGAACGTCATGTTGTATTGAAGAAGACTTGAAACTAGCGATCGAGACCATAAACTCATGTTTACAATGTTTACTGAGGGAATAAATCGGACTTCTTTTTTGCAACCAGAGGAGTTTAAAGCACTTCAGCATTAGCTCTACTTTTCAGAACCGGTTGCCGCCTGTGTAAAAGCGTCATTCTCCACCAATGCCAACTATTTATCCTCCGTCTTAACCAATCACTTTGCTCTTTACCTCTCCTATCAATGCAAACTGTCCTCTCTAACTCCCAATCCACTTGTCCTAGCAGTGTAATTCTCTCTTTAGTTAAAGTTACTCTGAGCCTGAATATTCTTCATAAGGAATATTATAAATATCTTCATTTGTATGGTTGGCCTCTCCTGGTTCCACTATTAACAGGCCTACCACATGACTCACAGGCAATATGTGTGAGTGTGTATATGTGTGTGGGGGAAAATAGTATTTAAGTTATAAAAAGACAAAAAAAAAAGTGTGAAAACGGCATGTATTGAGCAAAGGGCAACCAGGCAGATGTGTTTTTAACAGCTCACATCCCCTGGCTTCTCCGTGTCTCTGGCTCTAATCTCTAATACGGAGCGACGAGTCAGACAGGATGGAAGGGATTAAGCTCAACATGATAAATACACAAACAGGTGAAAACGGTTCCTGATGTTGTGATGTAACAGTACAGCCATAAAAAAAAACATCTCTGCTTTAATAGCATTTTAACAAGTACAAAGAGTACGCAGCTTCCGGTTTATTAGTCCTCCATGGCCAGAACTATTAAACTGTATTGGTTAATTATTGCAGTTCTGCAATAAATCCTTTATTCAAGCTAGAGTTGGAAATCTTTGAGAAAAATATTTATTTGATAATTGTTGAAATTTCATTTACATCCCAACAGCAATCAATAAATTAAATGCTCCGACATAAAAAGTAAGTTTTTTGTGGATTTAGTTTTTAAATAGCGTACTCTTGCTAGTTCATTGATAATGTTCAGTATTTGTTGAAGCGGTATTAGAGAGGTCTTGATTCAACTCTATGGTAATTTGGAAGCTGTAGTTTGTTGTACTTTAGTATTTTATTGTTTGATTGCAGATTTTTTTGAGATCATGAGATGGGATGTAAAGAGAATCTTATGGTTCAAGAGGTTTGGATCAAGTTATGCTCCTGTTTGGCAAAATGCAGGCTGGTTAAAGGTATAAAGGTCGAAACCAACATGCTTTTAATAATGATTTTTCATCAATGATTTGGTCTAGATCATTGTTTTTCATGCAGCTGGAGCATTTATTTTTTTGTGTAATTTTGTTCTTTCATGTCTGCAGATGGCCAGAAGCTACCTGCCAGTTAGAACGATGGGAGGACATCTGAGCGGAGACGTAAATAAGAAGAGAGAGAGAAGACATTGGCTAAAGAACAAACCACATGAAGTGCTGCATGAACCGAGTGAAAACAGGCTCTGTTTTCATCCCTCACTCCTGCTTTCTGTACACACTGGCATCTCTCCTGGGTTTAACTAGAGAGGGTTTAATTAAGGCTGGGCCTGTGTGTGTGTGTGAGTGTGTGTGTGTGTGTGCAGACTCAACCTTAAATAAATCCTATTTCCCCATCTGCCTGCAAATAACACACTTCTGTGCTCCATGGGGGATATGTTTAATGCTTTGCTTTTGCAGTGATTGTTCTTTCAAACACCTTCGCATGCTGATATTCCTGTGATTGTGCGACTTATACGCAAACATTATACGCAACATTTTTGCTTACCACCATCTTGTTGAGGGAGACCCAGCAGTCAGACGGAAAGTCCTGCAGCATGGGAACGAGGAACTGGAGACAGCCATCCCAGTGACACAGCAGCAGCATCATACCAATCAGGTTGAATATTCGCATCACAGCACTGGCGAGGTCATAGGTCATGTGGAAGATCTGTCAGGAGGAGATGAGACGGACAGAGAGAGGGTTATCAGAGTGGAGAGGAGGGAGAGACAGAGATAGATGTGTGAGGGGAATGAAAAATGTGTTTGTACAGAAAGAGGTAAACTGTACATCCAGTACATTTCTAAAAAGAGGAGAACATGTAATATTATGCTTAACATATGTGTTCTTCACTGTTATCTATAGGAGATCGTTTGGCCAAAATCCTTCTCTTAAGGTAGTGTTAATTGATTTATTGTTTTTTTTTCCCACTTTGGAGTAGGAAAAGATACTGTAAACACAAAATTGACACATAATCATCTCGCAAAGTTGATATTATGGCGAACATGTTAGCATACAGTTGCTCGAGGAGGAGGTTAAAGGCGGTGACGATGCCAGATCTGTGTCTGTCCGCGATAGACTGGCTGCTGCAGGAGACCCCGCTGTTGTCTGAGCTGAAGGGGTTTCAGGTGAGGCTGATTCGGCAGGGAACCCAATGGCCAATGACCAGCATTCATAATTACAATAAAGTAATTGCCAATTTTCTCGCTGACGGTCTTGTTTACTTAAGTAGGTCATATGGAGGCAGCGGTATTAAATTGAGACTGTTTCTTAACCAGATAAAAGGTCCTCATGGTAACTCTCAGTAAAACAACAGCCTGGACCTACTGATGCTTCTGTACTTCATACAGTGGATGTTACAGGAGGCAAAACATGTCACGATGATGTCACTAAGCAGGGACAAAAAGCCGACGTGCTGCATGTCATCCCTCCTCAATCTTAGTAGCATATTAGTGTCAGGCTGAGGGTCTACACTATAACCAGGTGGGCAAAATGAACAAGAAGAAGAATGATGGACGATGAAGCCTCATCAGACGCTGATGAGACTTTGATCAGCAGCCTGGGGTCGGCCTCTCTCTGCTGGTTTTTTTTTTTTTTTTAGATTCAATCCCTTCAGGTACGAAGGCTCATTTGTGCGGAGCTGGTGTTGTGGTCACAGCGCTGTAAACACCACTCAGTGTGGCTCTCGCTGGCTACTGGCCAGGCCTTGTTACCACTATGCGTGTGTCTGTGCGTGAGGGTGCAGGTTTACATCAATGCGTGGGCTCCGCTGTGAAAACCATGCTTAGCTGGACCAACTGGAGGCTTCACTAAAACGTAAGCAAAAGCATTTTCCCCACTAGGGACAGAGAATTATCCTATGACGGAAGTAGGCCAGGTGCTGAATGTATGCCTGCAACGTATATATTACATATTCATGTATGATGGAAAGCCCTGCTTTATGGGCCAATTTGCTGAATTCTTACATCAGAAACAAAGGGCTCATTTCTCACTGGAAACTGGAGGATGGACCTACATGTGACTCATCCTGTCACCTCGCTGCCCTAAACCCTCAGCTCACTTGAATCTCAAAACCAGCATCCCCCTACCAAAACCCCCGGGGTGCAGATGTCTCTTGTTAGTCACAGTGCCGACACAATAAAGCAAAGCGCTCTAACATATTCCTCCATCCAAACAGACCAACACACATATATTACTCCACACGCTGATGTGGATGATTCTTGCGAATGTAGCTTCGGTGCTTTTCTCATGTCTGGCTGAGTTCCCCAAGTCCCATTAATTTCTTCGACTTTAACTGCTTTAAATGCTCATAACACTTTAGTTTTGTGCATATTAGCTGTCTGTACACTAAACACCTCCTCCTTATCCTCCGCCGCCATCTAGAATATCCGTCAGCATCAAGGTGTTGTTTCTACTTGGTGGATATTCAATCACATATATGTTGGTTTTCTTCTTTATTCTTCACTCATATTTTAAGCTTTCCCTTCCCCTCGTGAATTAGCTGCAGGCCAAATGCCAAAGACACAACTTTCACTACTTTTCCCCTCCTATAATGGCTAATGGCCTTAGCTCATTTGGCAAAGGGGAAAGGGAAACACACTGAGGGCCCTGCCCTGTGATTAGAAAGCATTCCCGTCATGATTAATGAGGCTCCAGGACTATAATGTTCCCCCTGACACCCAGACAGCACCTGGCCATGTGTCACTGTCACGCCACAATCTCGGTCGAGGCCCATTACTGTGACCACGACTCACGGCCTGAGACATGCAGATAAAGTTGCGTTCCACTCCCGTCAGCAGCACATTGTCAAACACGGGGCGGTCCGGACGACACCGTTTAGAGAAAACTATTGAAGCTGATGAATATTACTCCCACAAGCAATCTCGCTGCCGCCCATTCATCGTCATTGTCTAGCTCATGAAAAAGGCATCCTCTCTCTAGTGCATGCCAGCAAGTGGAGAGCCTTGATACAAGCTTCCTGCCTCAGGAAATTGCTCTGGTTATTCCAGACAACGCTTATCTCTGCTTCTACAAACACACACACACACACACACACACACACACACGCCGCCGGTCTATTCAAAGATCACGTCAAAAATACATCTGCTCTTTCTTTTTTTTATCTATTATGAGCACCATGGTTGACTCACTTTGAGCTAAACAGTGAAATCATCACAACTCTAGGATGATCTTTTGGGAAAACCCCGCCACACGCTGAGCTGAGCCGAGCTGAGCTGGGCCGAGCTGAGCTGAGCCGAGCTGAGGGGAAACCCAGCCAACCACGTTTGGATCGAGCTGAGCGGAGCAGAGCTCGGCTGGACTAAGGTGATCGGGGCGGGGCTGAGGCGAAGCAAAGCAGCATTCAGTTGTGAGTGTTGGAGTCAGTAATTAGGGATCTGCTGGAGCTCGAATAACCACTCTGTATTCACAAGAGCTATTTATTTTCGGTGTGAGGGAACGCACACTTTTGATTCATGGATGCTGAGTTTATCCAAATATGGATTTTCCCTTTATACACAAAAGCACAGAGCAGGCGCCAGTTAATTGTGTTTGAGAAGCATATATGAGAAATGATGATTTCCTGATGTGATCAGAATGCTTGCGTAGTTGTAATGTGACATTAAAACAATAATAATAATAATTGAAAGGTCACTTTTGTTATGAGAACAAAGAAAAGGCAATTAGTGTCTCCGGTAGTTCTGTTCCTTCCTCGGAAAATCCCTCTTCGCTTTCCACTAATAAGCACAAATTAATTTTTCATGAATTCATAACTACATCAGCACACTAGCTATCAGGCAGCTATCAGGCTTATTGCTTTAGAACATGGTAAAACCTCAGCTTCTGCGTTGGGGAGTAATCATACAGAGCATTGTTTTGATGTACAAACAGAATTACTTGTATGCTGACATAAAACCACTGCACTGGAATCCAATTTTGTATTATTAATTAGAGCACAGTTGTTGTTTTTTAAATGAACAAACAACTCAAAGTGGCAGGAAAAGTCTTTGTCATAACATCCAAACTGCAGCTGACTTTTAAACCGGATCATCAGCGATGATCAATGCCTCTCTGATGGCTTTGATCTGTGAGCATTTTGTTCAACCTTAAAATTCATAATAAACACACTTTTGTTTAAATGCTGCACAATCCTTTACAGATGTGGCGATCCGGCATCACAGCGGACGTCTCTGTCTGCAAGGTGACGAAGAATGTTTCACGATGTAAAAGTAAACGCTGAAGAGATATCAGGGACGCTTTCCGCCAAAGCTACCGGAGATTATCTTTTGTAGCCCGGTCGATGCCGATGCCTTCATTTAGTTTTTAAAATGATGATTAGCCGGACGCCTTTTAAATGTTTTAAACACATTTAACAACGCTCTTGAGATGGATCCCTGACATTTTTATAATTATCAGCCAGTGTATGCAGAATGCATCTGTAATAAGTCAGTATTTATCAGTCTAGATCTGGTGTCGTTTAACCAAAAAGAAACAGGAAGTGTTCATTTTATCTTCTGTTTCACTATTGTTTCTATGGAATAAAAGAAAGATATGTTGTGAGATTCCGGTAAGAGATTTAACAAACCAGTTAAACTCAACCCACCTATCTAATAGAGGAAGACCATATTATTGGTCGATACTGGCTCATGATATAGATGCCGGTATTGGGTCATATATGATGTATCATCCTACATGTTACAGATGGGCACAGCTGTACAGATGGCTTACATTAAAGTGGCAACGACCATTTCCTAAATATAGCACACAGCCTACAACAGTGGTGCTCATGCTGTGTTCTCCCCTTGTGTTTTTGTTTCTTTCCCAAGGCCACTACTGCATGATTTTGTCATCTTTATTAGCATAGTGGTCCAGGCCCGTATGCTCATTGTACATTTAAATGTTATCATAGGGGAGGTTTCTTGGAGTGATCGGAGTAAAACCCTTTCATTGGATCTTAAATGTTGAATCTCTGCCTACCTCCTCCCATTGGTGGATGTACCGGATTAGTCTGGAGAGCCTCAGCAGCCGCAGCAGACTGAGGATCTTGGTGAAGCGGACAATGCGGAGCGCCCGGGCCGTCTTGTACATCTCCGAGTCCATCCCTCTCTCTACGATGAGGAAGATATAATCCACAGGTATGGAAGATACGAAGTCCACAACAAACCAGCTCTGCAGGTACTTCTTCTTGATCTTCTTGGGGTCGAGGATGATCTCGGTGTTGTCCTCGAACACGATGCCGGTCCGGAAGTTCAGCACCAGGTCCATGAGGAAGAAGGTGTCGGACACCACGTTGAAGAGGATCCAGGGAGTGGTGGTCTCTTCCTTGAAGAAGGTGATGCCCACGGGGATGATGATCAGGTTTCCCACCATGAACATCAGCATGGTGAAGTCCCAGTAGAACCTAAAGCAGGGGGGGTGGGGGGAGATGGTTAGAGACTGAGAGACAGTCAACCGTAAACACAGTGACGCTCTGCTTTTCTCACTCAGTGCACTGTATCTTCTCCTGGTGATGTAACCTAAACCATCTGACTCGGGACAAGGTCCAACCAAGGACAAGCAGAGAGACAGGAATATAACAGGAAATACAAGCTGGGTGCAGTTTATGTCAAATCAAAGGACAACAGACAGTGAAGCTACTGATGGAGGATGCCTCAGCAATTATCACAGCAATTGTGTCCCATGTTCAAATAACCGCTCCACAACGTTTAATCATACCACAAAATCCACCCGTGGTTTAGAGTTTTAAGCAGTGCACTATAAGAGCGACGCCTTGTGAGATGATTCGTCCATCAACAGAAAATGTATTTGTAACTATTTTGATGATCGATCAATCTTTAAGCTATTTTTCAAGCAAAAATGGCCAAATCTACTCCAGCGTTTCCAATGTGAGGATTTGCTGCTCTTCTTTATCTTATGTGATCTTAAACTGAATCGCTGGTCAGACAAAACATCACATTTACAGCAGTCATTTTCAGCTTCAGGAAAGTGGTTTTTTTCCACAATTTTCTGACATTTTATAGACCAAAAGATAAACTGACAAAATCATTGGGAGATTAGTCTTGCAGTCCTATGTGCTTTTGTCACGTTTTTTTTTTTTTTTTTAAACCTTGAGTTACACTTCTGTCTGATCAGCTGAAAGAACGCGAGAGCCTCCTAAGCAAAGGGAGGAACTGATTGAAGAGCGTTGCTGAGCCATGAATGTTCCCTCATATAATTCCCCACAAAAAAAACACTAATTCAGCATTATATGAAATCATAGTTTGATTGCAAAATCTGAGTCACAGCCAGGTGAGAGCTCAGATAGCTGGCTTTATCTTCAGACTGCTGCCGTTTTACAGTTGAGAGAATTGGAGGAGCTGTCCTTGGTGCTGAAACAGATGTTCAGACGCATTTATTTAACTCAAGAAATGTAACTTTTTCAACTTCCCGTCAAGTTTATCTTAGAGACGAAACTCATTAAAGGAAAGACTTTTAGTTACACCGATATATCGCAGTTACGTTACTATTTTAGTCTTCACCTGTCACTTAAATAGGGGAATGTGCATGGTTGAGATAGACAATTGCTCATATTATTTTACTGTCAATGAATTATCAAATTCTCCCACTAAGTTTCAAGGTGGCTAAATAAAAATATACACATACATATTGAGTATTAGTTGGATTTATTGTTTTATTTATTTCATCTTGGCTACAAGTGATTTCTATGGAGGACCTAAGAGCTTTTATTATTAACCTGAATATCCTATTACGTTTCTCATATAACGTTTGATGTGGAAAATGAGTACCAAGCAGTGTGTTACTTAAAAAATCCATAAAATTCAACACAGCACTTTGAGTGCCATGCAAAGCAATCTAAAGAGTATGCACTGGTTATGGACCTAACTCAATTTGACCCATACCTGAAGTCGCTGTATGGGTGGATAATCCAATTACCCGCTGACTTTACGCGCTCTTGCTCTTTCTCCACTGCCTTCTGGCTGCCAAACATGCGCAGGGAGAACTTGTTAACTCCGGGCTGAAGCATGGAACTAAACTGCCGCTGCATGTATGTCAGGTTCGCCCGGGAGTCTCCATCATCCGGCACTATCTGAGAGCCATCCTCAGCTTTGGAGAACGTGACAGAATTTCTCGACTGCTGACTCGGAGTCTGTCCTTTACTAGTCGGGGCTTTGGAGAAGGAAACTCTGGAGTCCTTTTTCTCCATCGCAGCCGCGGTCTTGACCTCGGCGCCCGGCCCCTGTGTCAGGGACCCCGCTGAAGTGATGGAGCCGTCCATGCTTGCAACCTGCCCCTTCCCGTCTTCAGCTGCCACTACTCCATACGCCTGCTTCTCCTGCCTTGAGATGAGAGAGGAGAGGCTCCCTGAACTGGTCGGGTCCCTTCTACAATCTCCGTTTTTGTTGCATATCATGCCGATGGCTCCCTCTGCTATCACGCCCACCTCGGGGAGTGCGTACCCTCCGGCAGCAGCATCCCTCCGGCACAACAGAGCAGAGGCTGCGCTGCCACTGACAGGTGCGGAGTCCTCGTCTCGCAGGAGCCACAGCTCGTGGTTGTTGGAGTTTTTGCGCGCAGTGGACGCGGCTCCGCCTCCTGGCGTGAATTTCTTCATCTCGGCTCCTCCGCTGCTCCCATGATCCTTGCGTCCGGACAAGCTGGTGGTGACTTGAGGTGGTCGAGGCTGCTGGAATTTGGGCTCCTCCTCGCCGCCGTCCATCACAGACAGAACAAAGACGGACAGACGGACAGGCAGGCAGACACTCCCCGCACCTTGAACCTGGCGAGACTGGGCGGCGGCCAGCCTTCTGCTTTCCACACACACGCATATACCCACACACCCCACTTTAGGATAACAGCGCACCGGTGGCGTTGCTATGGCTGCAACCTGGCTGCTGTTATAGTGTGTGTGTGTGTGTGTGCGCGCGCGCACAAAATAAAGATTGACAGTATTACATTTGGGCTGCAACTACACTTATTTTTAAAAAAAACTGTCAGTGTCATTAGAAACTTTATTTACATAATAAGCAAACAGATAGTATTATACATAAATAAACTCAACTGATAAGAGCGGGTCAAAGGTGAAAGGTGAAGGTCACAAAAAACCTTCACCTTTTTCCAACCTTCAAGTTTTCCATCTTCCGTCATTCACAGTTGATCTCAGGTAGACCATCAGCCAATAACCTACTCTGTCACGGTCAGGTGATCCACAGGCTTTCCTCACTGAGAGAGAGCTTGCATGAACAGCGTCTGCCTGTTGCTTGAGGTTGATAGTGTACTGGAGTCCTCCATTCTCGATTAAAGGGCTCCACCTTGTGGAGAAATACACGCGCTTCTTGGGAAATAGGCCTTTTTCTAACCGTAAGCAAAAATTAACTCGTTACAATGCATGACGCTTTTGTGACTCAATCCCTGAAACGGATGCATTATTATTTCCATTTAATTTTTGTTGCAGTCCTTTTTTTTTAATTTAATCATTCCAATGGGGCAAACATTTGGCTTCCATAAACCAAGATTAATCTAATTATAAACCTTCCTTTACACCGAGGAAATTCACAAGATAATCAGACACAAGCACAGCTCTATTGATATAAAGGGGATCATAAAACAGGCTGTCTGTTGGCTGTTATTGACAGTCTGTCTTGGCCTGAAACAGGGATTTGTGCACGCTAAGGTCAAAAAGGAAGCAAGGTTTAGGGCCATTTAGATAGAGCATTTAAAACTTTCTTTAAATTAATTGAGCCCGTTTAAGCCCAATGCGCACACATCCACACAGGAGTTATCTGAATCTTTGCTCTGCGCGTTATGACTGGAAACATGCAACAGTCTATATGAATAAAGCTATACTTATATACTCAACCACAGAAAATGCAGGTCGTTGTCAGTCAGACTGTAAGGTGACATGTTTTAGATTTCCTCTCTAAGCACGTTAGACTTGTAGTAGCTATGCTTATGTAATAGTTATCCACTGATACACTGACATTTGTCAAACAAACCGATTATCATCTTAAACTGTTTGGGCCTCGTCGTGCACAGAACGTCTTGACCCGCTGTTCTAAGTCACCCTTTGCTTTGAGAAGAAGTTGAGTAATCATCCATCCATCCATCCATCCATCCATCCATCTTCCTCCGCTTATCCGGGGTCGGGTCGCGGAGGCAGCAGGCTGACCCAGACTACCCTCTCACCGGCAACAGCGCCTGCTTTACTGCTGCAGCCGCACCGATCCGTCTGTCGATCTCCCGCTCCATCTTACCCTCACTCGTGAACAAGACCCCGAGATACTTGAACTCCTTCGCTTGAGGTAGGCACTCCGTCCCCACCTGGAGGGAGCAATCCACCGGTTTCCGGCAGAGAACCATGGCCTCAGATTTGGAGGTGCTAACTCTCATCCCCGCCGCTTCACACTCGGCTGCAAACCGCCCCAGTGAATGCTGGAGGTCACGATCCGAGGAGGCTAACAGGACCACATCATCTGCAAACAGCAGAGAGGCGATCCCGAGACCCCCGAACGTCAGGTTCGGGGGTCAAACGTTGAGTAATCAAACATGTAAAATCGAATACCTTTATTCAGTTTGTGCAAGTTGTACAACAGCTGGGGTTCCATGTACTCGGATGGTACAACAATGGTACACAATTCTGGCTAGGTCTTTTTATTAATCCGTTTAACTCTGCAACGGTAACATCCAATCACAACACTAATCAGATTAAATGGAACATTTGGCTTCTGAATCATCTACAGTGACAGGAACAGAGACGATGGACCAACAATCGCACACAAACCACAGCGAGTGAGAAAAGAAGAACTAAATGTTTCATCTGCTTTTACTAAATTCAAACAATTACTGCGTAGTATTTAAGTTGCATTCAACAGAAGTAACAGACAGCTCTTGCACTTGGTCCATAACATTATATTTTTATTCAGGATGAGACATCGGCAAAAGAAACGTCGGTGAGAAAACCGGTGGCAATTAAAACTTCCGATACAAAATATGGGATTCGTAAATAAAAGCTCGACTTAAAGAGGGAAAATACTTTTATACTAAAATTAACTAATTTATCACAGCAACAAAACTTTGCAGACATTAAATGATCATTTCTGTAGATTTATACACAAAAGATAAATGGTGCTTGTTGGCGTTTAAGTAAAGTTTAAAACTATGCAAAAGGGAGAATTTGCAACGGCGTAGGAGCAGGTCAACGCTATGAGTGTGGCAGTGAAGTACTCTGAACAGAACTTGTCCTTCTTTACAAGTAACAATTCCAGATTGGAGAACACAAAAGCAAAGACTGTGAGGTCAGTGTAGGAAGCATCAACAGAAAACAACCACAAAGAGGCATTCGTCACATGAACCATCTATGATTTTACAACACACTTTCCTATAACGGCGTTTTAACTCATGCAATATTTGCCCTCTGGACCTCAAGCAGAAATTACTTCACACTATGTTCTGTGGCTGCACAATGTGGAGAAGAAGATAGAAGAAAACAAAAACAAGAACAAATCTGACAGTTTCACAAAAAGGTACTTTTAAATTTGCAGGGTGCACAGTAGAATGTGCCACACGACAGCTGAATCCTGGACTGCCATCTGGAACATAAAAAAAAAAAAAAAAAAAAGAGTTTCAAGAAAGATGAATTTTAGCCGTTTGAAGAACCCATATTCTATTTTTGTTTATCCCCTGTATACTGTTTCCATGTAGAGAGGTAGAGAACACAGGAAGTTACATTTCAAGAACGTCAGAGTCTCACTCACCTCTTTCAGATTTTAATTGGAATTCCTCTGCCTCACATTCTTGTCTTTGTGATTTTCAGCAGAATTGCTCTTCCTGAAAAACAAAGAAACATGAGTTCTGTAAAAAAGACAAAATCTTTTGGAGACTGAGGATACTGAGCTGCTGACTGTACTTACAGGGGAGCAGCTCCTGAGTCGTCATCTGTCAGCGATCAATGGAGGGCAAAACAAAAAACCAAGAGTCAGTTAAGTGTTACTAGTTACTGGTGTGAGCAAAAACGTGCCATCCCCCTCCCCAACACACGATGGTAGCAAATGTTAGAACATGACATCCTCTGCATCACGACTCCAATGAGATTATGATCAAATCCAACTGAACATGAGCTGAAGCATGCCCACCCTCTTCCGACAATGAATGACAACTAAACCCGTAGAAAAGCATTTTACGCAGCAATTCCACACAATCATAGTCTATAAGACACAGTACTAACGGTCACTGAACAGACTGCTGTATGTTTCCTTCAGAGAGGTCTCATAAGATTTGAACATTGCCATTCATGAACATTTCACACATTGTCCAGAGACCCCTAGCTTCACAGAGGATCATGCAGCACAAGCAAAGGACACCAAAGGGACACTGCAGTCGCCGTGTTAAGATCCTCTGAACTGGCCGAGCTAACAGACAACCTGGCGGGTACAGAGGCAGAGGTCACACCAGAGCAAGAGCACGTATTGACAAAGTCTCTGAGGCCAAATGGTGAATGAGACAAATATAAATGATGCACTGACCTTAAGAGGGTGGCCTATCAGATATCATGCATAAAGAGTACAAGATGCAGAGGGCATGCAGACAGAATGCTGAAACTTCTCACTTTTCAACCTGTTCAAGTTCATGTCAAACCATTACACTAGCTTATGTGTCTCATTCGACTCTTTCATTGGCTCAAACACGTGATCGTTTTCTTTTTTTAAAAAAAAGGACCAATAGAAGGTGGAAGGAAAACTTTTTAAAGCTTGCTCTGATTGCAGGGCCAGTGAAAGAGTGACCAAATCTTTGAGCGCATTCCTCTTAGAAGTGGCGACTATGAAAGCAGTTCATTCAGACTCCCATAGCTTTCTGTTCCACGCGGTCATCTCAGCTCAACCACTTCAGTCTGACATGCAGTGTTGTCCACTTACCAAAATGCAAAATCAGCAGCGAACAGAGAAGTAAAAATGTAAATAATAAAAAAGGTTTCTATCACAGATCGTTTATACAAAAGGAGGGAAGCCAACTCCTGATCTTTATTCTAAAAATGTAAATAATAGCAAAACAATAAGGGTTCATATTGAATGCATGCAACTACAGTCTGCACATCCCACGTAAATTAAGAGTTCCGATTCGTTATTTCCAGGACCGAGGAAAGTTCAAATCAATATTTGTGAGCATGAGCCACTCCCTCTCAAAGCCAGAAACCAGAGAAGCAAAGTTTGTGACTTGATGGCCGGTTAGAGACGGTGTCTGTACTCAAAGATCACGAGCAAAGAGAGAAGCTTAACTCTGTAACACCACCGGACGACAGCGAGTGTTTGTTAGTCCCAAGAACGCCAACAGAGTGATTCGTTCTGCATCTAACGGCTCGTGCGACGTCAATATCACATTATCTAGTTAAGGTTTCATCGATATCATATAAATAATTTATACTCTTTAATTTATACACTGGGCCCTCGGATACAGTGACAAAAAACGGATCCGTTTGTAAAACCAAAGCGTGACGTGGGAGACAACCTGCGCCAGTAAAGGCTCCAAAACATGTGGTGAGAAATATGACCCTGAATATATTAAGTTTAGATTTATAATGGCAGATCTAGGCTGGTTATTAACGCGGAAAGAGGCTGAACATAAATGTACAGTTTACAGGTGATCCTCTGAAGTGGGTCTTAAGCTACAAAAGGTTGAGAACCGCTGACCTATAACATCTTTCCCCATTCATTTCTAATGGGGCAGTTCCAGACTTATAATCAAAATCACAAACTTTAGAACTGTAGTCTTTTGGAGAGAGTCGTTCATGTTAACTTATGTTTGGACTTTCTTAGATCATAGGAATAACATAAATAATATAATATAAATAATATAAATGGGCTTCGTTGTCCTTAAGGAACAAAGCTTTTCTTTAACAGCCTCCAACTTTCCACAAGTGAGTCTACAGTTTGATGCATTTCTATCTTACTGGAAGTTAAATGACTTCAAAGAGACTCTTTTTCTTTCAGCCACACATTACGACAGAGGAGTTGAGTGCATGTTGAGAAATGACCGTATCTCCCCTGAAAATACAGATTTACTTCCTGGCTAACTATTTATGACATGAGGGTATTTTGCCAAACCTGTGTAATTAGTAAAACAGCAAAAAGTTTTGTAATTCATCAAATTCTGAGGTCTGTTCAGACCGTAAACAGCATAGTGTTAAAAAAGGGAGAGAACTGGTGGTTGCATGATTGCTTCAGGCATCGGTGAGAAGATCAACAGCCTTTACAGTGCTATGAGACAAGACAACCGAGGTATTGCTTCTGTAATCATGTCATCTAATGCTTTAAAGTAAGACAAAACGGTTGAATGAACCTACTAAAGCAACAAAGTCATGTGAATTTGAACACATTTGACTGACTAATGCAGCGCCATGTCAGACGATCCACTCATTTGCCAAGACTCGCCTGTATTTTTTTGTTTTTTTGTCTAAACCCTGTATACAGTATGTAGTGGTGGAGGCAGCATGGCGTGCGTACGTACCGTCAGTGACCTCATCAGGCTTTCTCCTCTTCTCATAGATGAAGATGATGGTCACCAGGATGATGACCTCGGCCACGATGCCGAGGAAGGGCCAGAGAGCAGCCAACCGGCTGCGGACACGCAGGTAGATCTTGTCGCTGTTTGTGCCGAGCTCGTTGGTTCCGGAGCAGACGTAGTTGCCGATGTCGTTTCCGATGCTCAGGTCATTGACGGTCAGAGTGGTCTTGTTCGGGGTGCTCTTGATCTCATATTTGTCACTAGTGCCGTTGATGATAGGCTGCGGGTTGTTAGTGAAGGAGTTAGTAACGCAAATTGCAAGACAGGTGTGACCATTCCGCATTGCTTCATTGTATTTCACAAGTGAAGTACTGGACATGCATCATTTGCAACTTATGAACCATTAGTTTAGTTTAATGTCCTCTGGTTTAGAACTGTAGATCAAAAACATAAATACATCATTTTAAGATAATCAAAATTACAAGGGTAAGAGACGCATACCGTTTGGGAGCCATCTTCCTCTTTGAACCAGGTCCAGTCAGTGGGCAGTGGATAGCCGTGACTCACACAGACCACCACCCCTTTGTCGTTCTCATTGCCGTGCTCAGAGTGCTTGTAGGCAGCAACATGGGGAAGTGCTGCGGCAAGACGACAAACACGTTCAAATTAGAACGGGAAAGTTTGTGATCGAAATAAATGAACATTTATTCTGGACCAAAATGCACTTTACATAAGAACTTGAAACCAAGAGGCGACTGGAATGTTTCTAGAGCTCCGACATAATTCCCATAGTTCACATTGTTTTCTGGTGAAAACATTCCTCTGAAGCTGAACTGGAATTAATTGTCAAACCGTCACCCTCATAATTATTCTCTTATCTGCTGCATGTGCAGATGACACCCAGTTTTCAGCTGCGTTGGGCACATAATCACTTTTCTTAATGGTTGATGTATAGTCTTAAATATTAGCAGGGCTTATTGTTGATGCTTCCAGGAAATGTGCTGCCTTTTGACATTGAATCTTAAGTATATACTATATTTTATATAAAGACTACCAAATCTGTAACTATAAAAGCATAACATTTGCAACCGAGTTAGCTAAAACCCCCCACGTAAACATCGATGTGTGATATTGATGAAATAACTTACTTTTGACTTCAATCGTCTGCTTCACCTCTGGTTCGGTCAGGAACACACATTCATACTTTCCTCCAGAACTGTGGGTGATCTTGTCCAGACTGTGGAAAGAGAAAGAAGGAAGGATTTGAGAATTCCTTGCAAGAACACAAACCTCTGCAGGCCGAGCGACCGAGCATATAGCAGGTGGTGACTTGTGAACAATTCACTTTAATGAAAGCGATTAGTTTTCCACTTGGCTAAGTAGAAAATTCACAAAAGAACCCTGTTTATGTTCAAGGGCAAGGGGGGGGGAAATTAAGCTGCTTGTCCATGCAACAAATATTTCAAATTTCCCCCAGTAATCACAATACTGCCATTGTTTGATGTTGATGTCCCGTACTGCTCCGCTCGCTCACCCTAATGGGGAATTAAGGTCAGGGCAAGTGAGCACAGTGCTCGGGGCGCTTATCCCGGCTGCCAAGACTACCGGCAAAGCTGCACGAATGCACGGTCCATCTCAGCGAATGCTTGAATGGCGCCCCTAGCTTTGCTGCTAATGGGAGGCAGCCAGCGAGAATGGTGAAAAGGGGGGAGGGATGCCCTACGAGCAAGATGCAAAGTGCGAGGGAGAGAGATGGATATTGACTGTAGTAACGGAGACGGACGGTATAAGAATGGAATAAAAGGACTAGAGCAAGACATGCAAGGCCAACATAGCTGACTTTTAAGCAGAGAAATGGTTAAATGTCTTTAAGTATTTAAGCCATGCCATTTTATTGTTGGGTTTATTTATCCAGTACAGCGAATTGCACTGTTGTCTTGAACATAAACAGGGAATTCTTCTGCTTTACAAGCTAGCAGGAAACAGCATATAAAAGCAAACATTATTCAAGACAAACCATGAGAGGATGAGTGAAGTTATAGTGACGTAGTAACTGCAGGGCAGATCTGCCCATATGGCACTCTGATGAAGCTACTTACCGGAAGCTTGTGTATGCAGTGGCGTCGGCTGACTGGGAAGCTTCAATGAGCTTTCCGTTGTGCATCCAGTGGGAGCCCTTGACTGGAAGGCTGGACTCCGTCAGGTTGCAGCTGAGGACTGCGGAGGTCTGGTTGCTGACCTCCATGGGGTCAGTAACGATTGTTGGGGCTTCAGATAAACAGAAGGGGGGGGGAGATTAATTATTTATCATCATTTTCTAAACATAACCGACAGACAGTGCTGCCCTACAAAAGGAAAAACAACTTGTAACTACATATTTGGTCAAAATTGTGTTTTAACCTGTATTTGACAACTTCTACGACATTAAAAAAAAAAAATGCTATAGAGGTCTGTAATATCCGTGAAAATAACTTGAAGCAAAACAGTATCTGCAATGTTTGTAGTTACAGCACTTTTCCTTTGTAGGGCAGAACGGTGGTCTTAATACCCTTACACTTTATTATTTTTAAGCATAATTTGCATTTGATCTCTTAACACTCAAGAGTTGTCTTTACAGAAATTAATGACTTCATGGCTGCCCTCCACTCACAGCTAAGAAAACCAAGGTCGGCAGAGAGCAAGAATTCAACCCTGAGACGACAGCACCTTTATTTCCTCTCAGCCAGGGTGCTCCGGGAATTTGTTGACACAACTGTTGAGTGTGAAGTGGTCAAGTGGAAATCAAAGCAGAATTAGCCACTAAGTCCTTTGAATTATCCTCCCACTTGCCAAGTTTGAGACGAAAACAAATCCGTTCTCCGGAGTTAAACCAAGAAAACAGCATGACACAAGTTCCGAACAAACGCTCAGAACTTTCCTAGAAACAGGTGGAAAGAGCTCCCAAAAAGGGGGAGATCTGTCCCACCAACAGTAGAATGGGGGAGGGAGGGAGTGGAGAAAAGGAGATGTACCGGAAATCTAGCAGATACAATAGTCTACAACAAGGTCAGGGGGGAGAAAATCTTTTTTTTTTTTTTTAACGTGCAGAAGAAGCAACAAGAGGAGAATGAAGTGGTATCACTGCCAATCACATGATAACGTACAATAAATATGTATTTTTGTTTCAACTGGGTGAAGAAACTGACCAATTCTTTAAAAATTGACAAAATAATACTGGACCACAAGGCAGAAATATACCCCATGGCTGAGCATGTATTTTTAATAATGAGTTGCCATCTTCTGTGCCTACAGTTGAGTAGGTTATAAGCCACAGGGATGGTCTACAAGCATTAACAACAAGGGGCAACGCCAATGTTAGTATCAATGAAGGAAAACAAATATCTACCAAGACGCTACAGTAATCTGACACCCTTTTTTCTTTAAACAATAAAAATATTCATATTTTGTTCATAAGCAATACCTCATTCTATCAAGGATCGCATTGGAAAGAAGCAGACAAGCTTTTTATCCTCGACAATTTCTGAAAAATTGTACACGGCGGCCATTTCCTATATTTATTTATTTTTTGTTTAAGAATTTTTCTTCAGGAGCCATTGGCAAATTTCAAACCTTATGCCCAGTATTATATGCAAGAAAACCTGTCATAGTGGAACCTAAGTCTTGAAACAAAAAAGGCATCAGATTGAAGACACGTTATGTGACCGGTAATACAGGATTAGGGAGCGGCCCGGCACGCTTTATGACCAGGTTCGGATTCTACTACAGGGACAGTCTTGGAGCTTTTGAGGAGAGGAGAGGGAGAGCGTAGACTGGGGAAGGCAGGATGGAGAGGGTATTGGACCGGGAAGCATGGGAGTCAAGTGTCCAGGACTTCACTAATGAGACAACAGCCGAGCTACTTTGACCGTAGTCTCCTCGTGCTTCCTCCGCCACTCACTTTCGATCACAATAATGTTTGCCTGTGAGCGGATCCACTTGATTTTGGGCGTCTTCTTCAGTTCATTGCGGTCGGGGTCATTGGAAGCGCGGCACTCGTATGTGCCGGAGTCGTTGAGGGTGAGGCTAGTGAGGTGAATGGTGCTCGTGGCGTGCGCTACGTACGTGGCGTTTATTAGCACACAGCCGTCCCGTGCCCCGTCAAAGAGCTGGGTGAAGGTCTCGTTGGGCTCTTCGCCCTCTACAAACCACCACTGCACCTCGGGGATGGGGGTCCCTATCACCTCACAATGCAGAGCTGCCCCGTCACTGATCAGCTTCATCTGAGACAGGGGACACTTGATGAAGCCCGCTGAGCACCGTTTACAGTAATCCCAGCATAGAGAGATTTTATTTATTTTATTTTAATGTGGTGAGTTTAAAGCAAGCCAGTTGATTTCATGGATTGGTGATAAAAGGCCGTGATGGAAGAAAGGCAAGCAAACAGGAAAGAAAGAAAGAAAAAGAAACAAAGTTAATAAAAACACAAATGAAATGAAAACATGAAAGCATGCACATAGAAATAGATTTTCATCCAATTATTTTTGGGGAAATGTTTGATCATTCCTGGTCCTCTGACCCATCAAGATGAAAATAAGAAATTAACATAAAAAGCAATTAGGGACGACCCGAGCTGATTCAGATAACAATATGGGAGCGCAACATCAAGCATACACTCGGTTTCCAATTTATTACATACAGCAAGCTTCATGAAGGTTATATATTTATTTATTTTTGTTCAAACTGTTTTAGAAAGGTGTTGACTCAATGTTATGATAATTTTGGAGGCTGTAATTTGTGTTGCAGTTGAATTGTATTGCATTACACTTGGAGGCGTTTCTAACGTTTTGTCCATTTACATCAATGAGAGTAGACTACTAACAAGTTTAATTTACCAAATTAAGTTCATTTATATGGGTGTTTGTTTCGTTTAAAAGGCTTTAAAATCAATTACTGAATAATAAGGGTTGGGCCTGGGGGCAAAAATGCGGGATCAAGACATCCCTAAGGCAGGTAAAGCAAAAGAAGAAATAACAAAACATTTAAAGCATCCAATAGCATTCCCATGAAATCAAAACAATGAATGAACAGAACATGAAAAGCAGATGAGGTTGAAATGAAAAAAACATTTCACATTATAAAATTAAGTAAAAGAATCCATGGAACGCTTAGGACATGCACGCATTTCGGGCTGGCGTGTTTTCTCTGCTGTGCCTCGTGTCACCCAGCAGTGATCAGGGAGTTAAACCGCGCGTGTGCACGCGCGCGCACACACACACACACGCACACGCACGCACGCACGCACGCACGCACGCACACACCCTATTTTTCATGCAGACTATGCACATGAAATCAATGTGAGTGGAAGTCAAAACTGTCAATCCCCACTAAGGAAAACATTCAGCACTTCCCATCAATGCATTTATATGAGAATAACAATATGGCTGACTTATTCTCAGGGGACACGATAATGTCACAGATAGTTTCCTTCCCAGTATCAAAGTTCTCCACATCCATAGCAGGCAGTGGGGGGGGGGGACTTGTTTGGCCACTCAGTGGTGGTCAGAGGGGGGAGGTTATACACATAGGTGGGTACGGAGAAAAATAACATTCTCACGCTGCAGGCTAACACACAGCCAGCTTGTTCCCTGCTCTCAGGAAAATCCGTAGCTCACAAAGAGCAGAGAAAAACAGGACTGGGCCCGAGGTACCAACATGAACAATGAGTTAATCCACGACAACCATCAACTCGCATATCGGGGGTTTCTCCCCATTTTACACGCGCACCCTTTCTTTACATTCTCTTGATTAAGATACACTAAATTTTGTGTTGGAGAACTTCAATTTTCAAAACCCTTTCAACCAAAACTGTCAGCAGATATCAATTAAAGACCAAACAAAACAGGCAGACTTGTGAATTTGTAAAAAGGAGCCTCAGTCTCTGCATGTAACGTTTGTAGCTTAGTGACTTCCACCACTGCTATCAAAAGGTCACCTTCATAGCACATGCTGAAAGAAAGTTCAAAAACAAATAGTCTAGGCCCTAGTCCCAACTGAACAGATGTAAACCACAGGAATCTGCCTTTAGCCCTCTGCTCTTTAACATGAGAACCAGCAACATGTTTTTCCAGTGGATATTCTATGTTTACCTATGCTCAACAAACATGCTAGATGCCCAAACAATGAACAAAAAAAAAAGCCTGGAAATCTATTTATTTAACCAAACGGGAAGACAGAGAATTGTTACCCAAAAAAGAGCTGCAAATAAGCCCACACTATGGGGATACATGCTTTATCTTCATAGAGTTTGTTTTCATTCAACCAGCTGGTTGAAAATTAAATAGACAAAAGGCTATACACAAAGACTAAAACGATTTTAATACTCAACTAACAAAAAGTGTATTGAATTTTTTTTACACCAAACAGGAAAATCTAGAACAATTCAACATCCTTTCCAACAGAAGATGGATGCCGTTGGTTTCAACACTATGACAGCAGTGACGCATGGAAGCAGACACTTTGTAAAGCTTTCAATTCAGCATTGTATTATTTGGTAACGGTCTAATATTTTAATTCAGCTGTGGTGGACCACAGAATTGTCACCATTATAGGAAGGATGTCAACTCCCACAGCCAAAAGAGCAACAACCCGTCACTGTCGGTGCTACTGCTTAGACTTTAGGCTTTCATTGTTGAAGGATAATTTAGGTGAGAGCAGGTTAAGCAGCTGGGAACTCAAAATGGTAGTCAATAACAAAAATGACTCCATATTCAACACCATTTACCAAATTACTTGGACTAAAAGCCCCGGCACTTAAAATAGATGTCTGCCTTTGTCACACCTTGCCTATCTGCCTCGTAACCCAGTTAAGCTCGAGAAGAAGCTGAATCTCCAGGGAAATCTAATTTTACTCCTGATCTACTCAGAGCCGTGGTTATTAAAGCAGGAAACATTCAGCGGCATGAAGGATCCTTGTACGCGTTTGATGCACGATAAAGGCTGCATTCGATTTTCAAAGTACATGGTTTTACAACATATTATGTCAGTGTATGTACTTGCTCATCTATCTTAAATGCCTTAGGATGACAAAACAGGGGGGAAATGACTCAGTTTGGATGTTTTGAAGTGTACTTAAATAATTATGGGGAACTCCTTCAGTGCTAAAACTCAACTCAGCAAAGGAAGCTCAAAGCTATTTCAAAATTATTCCATTTTAAGTTTAGATTTACGGTTAGAACGTAGTTAAGTGAAAGGCGTTACCGTCATGAAAACAAACAAGACATTAACATTTTGACTGAATCAGTCCTCTTGGTATAAACACTGTATTATGTGTTGACTATCATATTTTAAGACTTGCATTTGCTAACAGAGAAAAAAAATAAGCCCCTAAGCAGCACGATGAATATTCCTCCCACCTAATTCCGAGGGAGCATGTCTGATATTTTTTCTATAATAGCTGTCGTCGCAATGCTGACAGTCACGTGACACATCCAATAAATAACTGGTTGTGATCACTGTAACCAAGCAAAGAGCTGAGTGTGAAGAAAATGTAGCTCTGTGTCCTGTAACCTTAATCAATGGAGAACCAGGTGGACAAACTGATACTCATCACAGGGATTAATTAGGAGTACTGGGTCAAAAGACAAAGAACCTCATCTGCATGCATGCCTTTTATTGATTAGCTGTGTCCGACTGATTTATATGTTTAATGGCCTTCCATACGTATTAAATAAACCAATAAATAAGAACAAGCAAATGGCTGTCAATTCTAACGCTACACGCTAACGTTAGTGCTCTGGTTCCTACAACACTGTGCGGAGGAAACACTTACCAAAAAAGGACTTTTTACACCTTTAGGGTGTAAGTGAAAACGACAGTTAACGTTAATTCCTAATGTATAGCATCCCTTTTGTAACGTTACGCAACTAATTACGAGGTTAGTGGACACCAACTGCCACAACCACCATGTTTAAAAATTAGCGTTAGACCTCACGTGACCGAATATCTAACGTTAAATACCTTTCTGGAGGGAAAGAAATGAGACATAAAAAGATAGATAAATACATTTAGCAGTTGTGTAACATTATTTTAAATGTAGTCACGAAACGGCCGGTTAACCGTCCCGAGTGCAAATTAGCAATAACACGAAATGCAGCTAACTGTTAGCGCTAATACGTGAGTTTCTTACTAACGTTACTGATACATTTTGTAACGGCTGCTATAAAAAAAAAAAAAAAAAAAAAAGATGTCTGACATATAAAAACAAATACAACTGCCGTAACGTTAACGAGGCAGGAATCGGCGTGAACATGTTAAATGTTCGTGGTTCAGGGCAAAGTCTTTCACCAACATGGCTGACATACTAGATTCTTACCTGTGGACGCGTTGGCTCGCCAACATCCCAACAGCAGGGCGCTGACAGCCCACAGCAACTTCATGGCGGATAGTTTAGTATTTTACTAAAAAGCGGCGAATAAACGCAATGTTATTAAGCTACGACGGGGTGAGTCTTCTTCCTCTTCCGCTGAACGATCCACAGTGGAGTCGGTCGTCCTCTAGTTGCACCTCGCGCGAGCGCCCTGAAAGAGCACGTACAATATGACGTGCTGTTTAGAGGCGTGGTCACGTGACTCACACTAGTCTCCACTCTTAAAGAGACATTTAAACTAATCATATTCGAATGTAAATTGGCAAAAACAGACTAGACTCCACTCTTAAAGAAACATTTAAACTAATCATATTCGAATGTAAATTGGCAAAAACAGACTAGATGTAATATTTTTTAATGGAAAACAGAGAAATCTACCTGCATGCATGTCTTTTATTGTTTAGCTGTGTCTGACTGACATATTTAACATATTCTGCATACTTTTATGTTTTGTGCCTCTGACATGGATGCTTTTTAGCATCTAAAAATGCAGCATATTATATTTAGTCCATGTTTCTACTTAACAGTTATCCCTCATGTTATTTGCTTTGTGTGTATTGTGAGCCTCTGTGTTGCATGTCTTGTTAGTACTTGACAAATACAGTATAAGAGTCTCCTGAATGACACTACTTATATCTTTGTAAAGGGTCAATATTGCATAACTTTGTAAATATAATCTTATATTCTGTTTTTAGGTTTACTTTGTAACATCTGCCTCTTGGGACTACAGATGAAAAATAGCCTCTTGGTGCATTTTACAGCAATGTATTTATTAATGTGCACTGTCCCTTATCAAATGAACCAATAAATAAATAAAATAGTGAAGGTGATTTTAAGTTACATTTTTGATGGATAATGTCTCAAAAAATGATGTGATAAAATAATGAAGTCACTGTTAAGTAGCTCTTTTCTTTTAGAAATAAACACATTTCATGTCGCACATTCACAGGACAAACATGCAACAAGTGTCTGAAGGGAAAGTCACCCAGTTGATGGTGTAGTGAGAGCAAAAACTGGAAGGAAATGTCTGCAATATTCAAAGAGGTTTCATCTCCTCGACTAAATGTTAAAGTGCTAAAGTCGAGATTCTAGAGTCTTGGTTTCATCTAACAAAATAAAATACTAAGGACTGTCTTAAATCAGGTAGTTCTCTTTGCAAGAATACATTTTATCAGTATGGATGGGACATTACAAGGAGCACACCAGTAAAATAAATCTAGGCTGTGTTTCAGAGTGACCACAGCCGGAGTTTGTAAAAAGACACAAATACATGTAACTCAACTTAAATATTGGCAAAAAATGTGTGATGCTAGATGTCTTTTTGTGCGGGTCGTTGCAATAAAGGCTTGTCTAAAGACAACTTGAAAGTCCGTCGGTGGTCAGACTTCAGTCCTTAAAATTCACATCAAGTTCACATCAACTCGAACAAGCCCGAGTAAATGTACAGGAAATTATCCTTGTTTTTTTGCTTGTGTTGTTTTTAGTAGAGTAGGGATGCTATTGTCAAAGTAAAACAAAATTTGGTGGTATGTAAACGTATGTAAATGTTATACCGGTATGTACTGTAATCCACCAATAAAAAGTTTAAAAAATAGAAAATCCTCAGATGTGTCATGCCGATGCTTCTGAAAGTGCACTGTCACAAGTTATTTTGTGTAGGTTCACGACATCTAAATCCTTTTTAAATTCAGGTTGCAACACTAAAAGAAAAAGGATGCTACCTACACCTTCACAGGTTTAAACTTGTAGGTCTACACTTTGAATCTGTAGTAACTCAATATTAAAACAGATTGCCATATCTCAAGGTACATATTTAAAAAGGCAAAGGTAACAATAAACTGAGAATATGAATCAGCTATTTCACATTGTAAAGTCAAACTCATAACTATAAGTCAAGTGTGTCCACTTGACTGATAGTGAGACCAATGTTCTGTTCATAACAACCCCCTCAGATTAAAGGCCTTTGAGCCTAAACCCCAGAGAAGAGAGGCACAAATGTGTCTGCATGGCTACACAATGAGAGGAAGCTGAGTTTATTTGCTATTTGATAACATTTAATAGGAAAACACCCCACTGAAAGACTTCATAGAGTCTGTTTACTATATACGTGCCTTTGGACCAAGGGCTTACTTTGAAATCTGAAAACCGTATTATGCTTTGAAATCACTCGATGTTATTGTTCTCTGGTTGTTCTAAGAGTCTGCAAGACGTCACTAAAGGGACAAATAATTCAGCATGGGGAACACAAAACAGCACAGCTCATATTTTGCCTGTTTGCCCCAAAACATGTTTACTATTTCTATTTAAATATTGGGACAAACAAGTGGCTATTAGCTGATTTGCCGCACCAATTCCCAGATTTTAGGAAAAGTCCTTTTTTTTTTTTACTGCACTCCCATCTAGTGTCTAACCACAGCATCACACACTGAGTGCAGCAAACAGATGTCTTTCAGTACATTTTATGACTACTGCTGCTCACGATTAGAGCTTAAGAGTATCTCTCTCTCTCACACACACACACACACACACACACACACACACACACACACACACACACACACACACACACACACACTTTAACATGAATTTTGAGTGGTCTCACCCAAAAAAAGCTTTATTTTCAGATCACTTTTTTGACACAATCGTACTGCAAATCAATAGTCAACTAGCAACTTCAGAAAATATGTCATTTACCTTTACGTTAAAATCCCCAAAAAAGCTCTTACAAGTGCCTGAGTGTTTCAGACTTGCAGATAACAAAATAAAATCCATGTGTGCAATTTAGTGATGCTATCCGCATCATTATCCAAACAGCACAGAATTACTGCAGTTTACCGCATCATTTCAAGTGCAAACATCTGTACCTGTGTGGTGTCAGGTAATCTGTAAGTTAAACAATAAAAGAATCAAAATGTAGTATCATTCTATACCAAGAAGAAGAACCTTAAGTGCACGCTTTTAACAGTGCACTACAGTGCACTTTGGGTCATGTTATCTGTGAGATATGAATACTACTTATAAAAAGGAATAAATGTACAGTTCTTTTTGCTTCATTAGCAAAAGTGGGTCATTTCATATTTCACACAGTCTGGAGATAAAAAAAGAAAGAACAGCGACTGTCTTGTTGTCCCGAGACTTTTACCTTTGGATTCTTTTTGTTCTCTCTTCCTCCGTGAGGTGATTCAGGCAGATCGAGTCTCTGGAAGTCTCCATGCTTCTCGACACCCTCCCTGACAGAAGCTGCACTCCAGGCCTCCGCCCTTCCTTTGTTCGGATCCCTGACGAAGATGGGAGCAACAGGACGGGCAGAAAAACATGGACCTCGCGTATCACTTGCCCCCCGAATCAGGCTTGAGTGCTCCTGGTCGAGATGCACTCGGGTCTCTGCCCTACAGCAGGGAGAGACTGGAGGTCACCGCCCCAAAGAACAGCAGCCCTACGAGCTGCAAACGGCTCGCAGGGCGACGAGGACAAACGGCCCTCTAAGAGTTGTCAGTGGAGTTCTCATTGCTGGCCGAACTTGAGGACTGAGGGGTCGAGGAAGATGAGGAGGCCGAGGAAGAGGAAGAGGAGGAGGTAAAGTTCATCCCTGATAGTTCTGGAGGGTTCGTTGCCGTGTTCTGTCCACACAAGCTTTTCCTGCACACTGGACAAGTGTCATGCTGGAGAGAAAGGGTGGTAAAAATGAGAAGCTCTTTGAAAGGGAACTTTGGTTTGTTTTTTTAATCTGCACCCCTTTTTTCCAATGTTTTGTGTCTATTTTAAAATAATGAAATACATTTTTGAAATTGGTCCCGTATGGAGGGAGAAGGCTTCAGCATGTAGCCGCTAACGAGCTGCGATGTAATCATATCGGGCAATTCCACACCTTCAATGAACCTTCACTATAAGTGCTTGTTTTTGCCACCGACAGGCTACGACTGTTATTCTGACAATGTCTAGAAAGATCCTACAGAGAAATGAAAAGGTTTTCTTACTGTTGTACAGAGAAATGAAAAGGTTTTCTTACTGTTTGTTATTGTGTCATGTGACTTGTGCCTAAAGGCAAAGGTGGAAACGTGAGTAAGAGTTGCAGAGAGGAGTGCCGGTGATGTCAGAGTTTGCTGTGTTGAAGTACAGAAAGCGTAGCTTAGTGTTAGCTTAAATATTTTCAATGTCATGGCTGAATATTCAGCTGATTTCAACAATGTGGATGTGACACGAGATTTCAGAACGAGACTTCTGCTCGTGAACAGACGGACCGCATCAAGAGAAAGGTAAGAAACACGTATTTCTCTGTCGGGTCTTTTCCATAATGTTGTCAGACACTTATAATAATCTGAGCAGTAGCAGAAACCAGCACTGTTAGTGGACGTACAATGACGGTGCGCAATTGCCCGATATCATTTCACTGCAGCTCTTTAAGGGGCTGCTGGCTCCAGCGTTCTCCTTCAATACTGGAACAATTGAAAAAAAAAAAAAAAAAGTTGTCCTTATTAGTCAGTTAGAAACAAAAACATGGGAAAATAGGGCGCAGGTTGAAAAATATTGAAATCACGTATATCAAGTGCCATTGCTGATGCTTCCCCATTACATAGTTTCAGATAGCCAGTGGTGAATATTAAAGTGGAAAGAGCATTAGATGGTGGATGTTTAATACCTGCTCCAGCCAGGGGACTATGCAATCATTGTGGAACATGTGATTGCACGGCAGCTGCCTCACATTTTCTCCGACACTGTAATCTTCTTTACACACTGGACATTCCAGTCCTGAAGCTGAAAGAAAGAGCGAGTTATAAATGTGAAAAGAAATACTAAGTATGATCAGTCAAGCCGGTTTGGATGAGAGGGTTACAAATAGTTACATTATGAACCATCAATGTTATTTAGAAATACATAGACATTAATAGCCACAGTTCAGTTTTAAATGAGATGGAATACCAAAAGTGTTGTTTTTCAGAAGGAGGGTTGGATGCTCTGCTACTCGTCTGATTTTCCTTTAGCTATGCAAAGTGGCAGTTCTCTACAACCTGATGTGATGGGTGTGTTAAGTAACTAAGAAAACTATAAAACCAGCAGATAAGGATGGGAAGTCTTGATGCAAAGCAGGTCTGAACATTATTAAATATATATCAAAGATGTATCTTGTGGTCGATTATCAAATAAGTTATCTATGTCACCAACAAATATCTTAATGAGGAATTATGCATTTGAGCTCTCATGAATGATTAACTCAAGTTAATCTCCTGGTGAGATGCTTCAAATGAAACATTCTTATAATGTTAAAAACTAAAGCCCAATGAAGCCAGCTAGACTGGCAAAAATACTACTCGCATTCAATTTAAACTGCAGCACGCAACCTTGAGATTTAAAGAACATTATACTGCTGTCCAAATAATACACTCCCGCATCTAAGATATCAGAAGAAAAAGGAAAAGCAGTGATAAAACATTATGTCACACTATTATGTTTGAACTTACCAACGTGCTCGTGTGTAACTTGTACTGTAGGAAGAGTTTTTATTTTATCCCTATCGGCAGGCGGAGGTCCCGTGTTCTCAAACTGGTTTAATAACTAAAAACAGAGAGAAAAACATGTTTGTATGCATGTTACTGCATATTTACTCACACATTTAAAATGTTTAACGGATTTAGATTAGAACCAATATTTTTGAACAAGCACATCAATCACTTTGAAAACATTTAAAGGTTTCCGAAAAATACCTGAGTTATAATTGCATCTAGTCCGTTAGCTCCCCAGGCATAATCCATAGGATTTGAGTGAAGAACGCCCCTTTAAGAAAATAGTCACACATTAGATCAGTTAGGAGGAACAGACGGATGAAGATTTGTTTTCTGGTTAAATGTAAGCGTGTTCCAGACACTCACCAGGGTCCAACACCGATATTTGGCATTGCAGTGGGTGCAATTATTCCATTCACTAGCTGCTGAATGATTCTACAAAAGAGAAGATACAGCTGTGACACAGATGTATTGATGGAGAAATGAGAAAAAGTGAAAGAAGTGTAACCTGTGTTTATCAACCTGGATCCTATTTTCCCATGTTTTGGGGTGTAAGTAACCAATAGGAATAACAGTTTTTTGAAAATTGTTCCAATTTTGAGCGAGAACGCTGCAGACGGCAGCCGCTCACCGTCAATGTACAGTCACAAAAAGTGCTTGTTTATGCCACCGACGGGCTCCGATTGTTATTATGACAATGTACGGAGAGGACCCTACAGAGAAATAAAAAGGTTTTCTTACCATTTGCTTACTTATTGTTATTGTGTCATGTGACTTGTTGCCAGATCAATTAGAAATTGTTGTATCTGTCAGTCACTTAGACACAAAAACATGGGCAAACAGGGTACAGGTTGAAAAATATCCTTTAATGAACTAATTAAGTCCTCAAGCTTGATTTATGACTCAAGTCCCACAAGTCACAGTCTGCACTGCTTACCCCTCTAGAGTAGGAACTCCCTCATGCCTCCCTGCTTGTCGCCTCGAACCATGACGACTTCTCGGTTGCCTGGCACCGTATCGCTGCCGTGATGCCGTTTCCCTTTCTCGCCTATTTTCAGCATCCCTGTTATCCTCTGTTCCCAGACCAGCCCCGAAGTCGAAGCGGTCGTCAAAGACGCCCAGGGAAAACTGGCCGTAGCCAGACGGGAATGTAAACAAGTGCTGGTCCGGATTCTGGGAGAAAAACAGATAAAAGCACACAACAAAACTGTAATCTTGTTGGTAGAAACCAGTGAAGCTTTGGGATTTCTCTAAATATTCACAACTGTTTATTGTCAAAACAACACACCTTTTGTTGACTTTACAGCCCAATGGAAATGCATGCTGGCATACAGAATCTCCTCGTTTACTGAGGTAACGGCCATAACATTTTTCAGTGTTACCCCACAGTACTTAACTAAACTACATATCAGCCTTAGAATGTTTCCATTTTTTTGGGCAAAGTTAAAAACAGCCCAATCATTCATTATAATATTATTTTAAACTCTGGTCTGTCGCAAAAGCAGAAGTGAAAACCCAGAGTGGACTTCCAGCATGTGCAGTACTACATCAGCAAAATGGAAACTATTTTAGTAGATTCTGAAGATATTATGCAACGGTGTAGTGGGACAGAGAAAGAGGTTGTGTGTGACAGAGAGGAGAGAAAAGAGTAGCATAGAAACCTCAAATGGTTGCTGGTTCTGGGGCCCGCTGGAGATGGTAGACATGGAGCCATTGTCGGCACTAGACAGAGGACAAGTAGTGGATAAAGTTATGTCTCGACTCAGTGATACTAAAGTCATAGTTTCCATCCTTCCCAATCATGAAATAAAGTTTCTATTCTATTTCTTCCCTTTATCCTTGACCCTTCACCCCGATTGTGATCCCAATTTGAACTGTAACACCTTGAAATATCACGATAATAGTTACAAAAAAGGGAAAAAGGACAGTAATGAAAAGTATTAACCTGCTCAAGAAAAAGAAAGCAAAACATGCCATTTTAGTTAAGCAGTGCTCAAAGTTCATTTTCCACTTCAAATAAAGCACAAGTAGCAAAATGTATCATAACACAATTTGTTTTTAATGTGCATTTATACTAAATGTCAGTGACTGCGTGTTCAGAATCAGAATCAGCTCCATTGGTCAAGTATGTGTACGTGTGTTATTTGCGGAATTCCATTATCCATAACGAATGGTGGCAGGCTCAGTCCAACAGTCATAAATTAAAAAAACTGTATGTAAAATACAGTTTATACACACCTTCTCTCCTCCAGTAGCTCCTCAATAAACCCTGAGTCACATCTCGGACATGTATACTCCTGTAAACAAACCAGAACATTAGATTCATCATGACATGCTCAACTATCTATTTTACAAACAGCTGCATCACATATCATTTAAACCCCCGATTTAAAAAAACAAAAACCGAATTGCATGATGACTACAGCTACTGCCATTAGCGTGTGTCAGTATGCAGCAAGTGTAAACCGCAAATAAGATGTGTCGAACACAACTCTACTGATAGCACAGCTGGACAGAGAGATAAAGAAGACAGTAGATGATAATTCCTAAAGATAAGAAAAGCAATGTGAAGTGTTTGGAGGTCCGACAAAAGACTGTTGGGCAAGCGACACCCATTCATCCCATTTGCTGTAGCGAATAAAGCACCACATTTCTTCCAGCACACACTGCAGACGATCCTCTCCTGGAACACCAACAATCTGACCAAGAGGGTTCACTAGACTAGAGGATACCTTCCAGGGTCGGAAATTAAGTTTTCTCCCTTAACTGCCACGGTGGCAGGTCACTGAACATTTCTACCGGGCAGCTACATTTTCTTTGTCTGTCTCTTTTAGAAATAAAAACACAGAGTCAATGGTAACAGACAGTAGAAATATGGAATCTATCATGTAACCTTTATGCCCGACTATGTTTAAATTAGGAATTGCTTTTAAAAAATAGCCTTTCTTAACCCATCTGCCATTGTGGGGGGTGATCTGGAATGTGTACCTGCCACATTTACCTTGTTATTGGCAGGTGGCTGGCTTCCCACCCTTTCCTCACCACCATCTACTGGGACACCTTTGAAAGTGGCCTGAACAGCCGTCACTATTTGATAAGGGAACTGCATTCTGTAAGCCCCCTCAACAGGCTCTCTTTCCCCTCCATGGCCGTACATCTACCGATAGAGATGGTAAACAAAAGCCTCCAGGTGTTGCAAACCACCGCATAAAGCCCAACACCACCAGAATGAGGTACAGCTTCTTCCTCCAGGCTATCAGACTGACTAACACCTTACAGCACCCCAACATCCAACACACACATAACCCTTGTTACTATACATCATTTTTACACCTTCTGTGTGGATATACATGTGTTTTTGTCCTTATGTTTCTTTTATGTTTAGATTGTTCTAAACCCTGATCCTTACAGAAACAATGCGTCAATCAACTGTATTCTCTATGGATTAAATGACAAAAATAGCGAGAAACCTATGGCTGATCTTTTTTACATTGTGATGGGCACATTTGCAGCTCTATGACAGATCATTCTAGCCTGTGACAGACAGGCATGCCACTTGTGTGCTTTAGTGAATGGGGCAAAACAAGAAAAGGACGCAGTGGCATTGTTGCTGCTGTATCGTTCACATGTGGGATTTACAATCTAGTTCACAAAGCCAGATTAGTGTTAACAGCGTCTCTTTGATACAAGAAATACCTGAAGTGGACGCGATCAGTGTTACAGTTAACGGTTATTACTTTTGAATATAAGCTAGCTAACGTTAACCGTTAAAGGCCAACATACCCCGTAAAATACCACAGAAACCAACAAATGATCCAGTCAACGTTGTTGCAAATATCCTATGAACAAACTAGCAGTGGTCTGTGTGTAATGACTACGCAGTTCTTGAGTGTGCGCTGATGGATCCACTACTTAAGATAACAAGCTAGCTAACGTTGAGTAGTGCTAGCGAGGTAAACGGGACCTCGTAGAGATGCTAACACTGTTAGCATGCTATCTGTTGGCCCCGCTGCCACACCGATTTATATTAAAGTGGCGACAACACCACTGTGTTTTTTCATTTGTCCAGTTGTCCCTATCTTTCCTTTCTGTCCACGGTACTTACGGGAAGCCGAGGACTAATCTCTGCGGAGCATCTGTGACAGAAGAACCGGCTGGGCCATGGAGGAGCTTCAGCCATCTTTAACCACTAAACAGGTGAGAGGAGGAAGGACTACGGAACACCGGAAGGGTCAATAACCTCCTAGAAAATACGACGACACATGTGATTGAAATATTTACTATGCATCAAAAATTATCTCAAAATGTACTGCGTGATAGAGAACATTAAAGAAATAACATTATTGGATGGATTATACTTTATGTATTGTAGAATTACAGACTACGATTAATGTGAAATATCAAAATGAATTACAAGAATTAATTGTTTTACAAATGGTGTAAACATAAGCAATTTTAAAAAACTGATTATTTTACTGTGAATTATTAATTCATATGCATTTACCAAAGACTAACAATCACGTGTGTCACAGAATATCGCCACAAGGTGGCGCTTTTGTGCACCACTTGTTGTTGAAGAGTGTCAATGTATTTCACAATGTAGTCAGTGACTGGGGATACGATGCACTCTTGGTAAATTTCCTTTAGAATCTATGAAATCTTAAGTCAGGTTATTATATGTTGGGGAAAAACCAGGTTAAGGTGTCCTGAATTCATAATAATGCCAAAGCCCCCTAACAAAATCTGTATCATGTATCAACACACTGAGCTCGTGTTTTATCCCTGCAGGTTCAGGGCCCCCAGCTCTCCCTGTTCACATATAAACCAGAGATGTGTTTTTGCAATCTGGCACTGCATTGGATTTATTTTGACACATTTTAGTTTTCCATTGGATTCCTGTCAACCACCTCCTGAGCCCAACAGTCATACTTCAAGTGTCTAAAAGTAGCATCTGTTTTGGAGCCATCCATCTCGTCTGAGGTGGATTTGTGAGTTGTCCTTGATCATTTGACAGAAGTTGTTGGAACAATTCTAACAAGTGTCAAATCTGAGACATAAAACGATAAATAAATAGCCACTCACATGGGAAAGACATTCTCTCGTTTTTTTGTGTGTGAACACAGCCAAGTTCTTGCGGCCCTGAGATAGCAGCGAAGGACTCAGAGATCACTGAGTTTCATAAGAGTTGGAGGGAAACATGATTGATTTTATTTCGTTTTCAGGTCTGTTTTTATTTTCGAGGTTGTAAATTAAAATATCCTCAATATTTATTTTTCTCACAGGTATCCTTAATGCGATTACCGTAGCTGCAGATTGGCGGTTATAAACATGTCCCACAAGTCTGGAGTATCTCTGGTGCTTAGCACACATGGTGGGAGTAAGTAGGAGTTCCCATGCGACCTCCCATCAGCCAATCACATCTCTCAAACCGTCTGGCCTGATTTTTATTTACAAATGTTAAATTTTATGCTCTTTAGGGGAGCAGCCCAGAATGCAAGCAGCTCCTAATGGCGTTCATTATTATTCGGAATAATCTTGTTTACCACATGTTCTAATGAAATAAACCGTGAAACAACTGAAAACTTTCAGTGACCCAATGGTTTAATTTCTCAGCTTGGCATGCATAACATAGATATAATTAGTTATAATAAGACTTGATGTTTCCTCAGAGCAAAGCTCACAATGTTACCTAGTTAGGTCCTAATGTCCTCTCTAGGCCGGCATTGTGTCTGATCTGGCCATGTGGGAGCAGGAAAGACACGACTGTCCCATGGGCTGAGATTAGAGAGGGTCTGATAGCAGTGAGGTTTGCTATGTCTGCCTGGCTGAGGTAAGCTATTGTCTCTCTGCGCCCGGTGCGTCACCGCCATCCCAGTCGAATGCTCATTGTAGCAATGCAATCTGCGGAGTGAGTGACTTTGGGTCAGAGACAGGTCGTGTGAGCAGCGGAATAACAACTCTACCAGATATAGCGACCTTCCACATCACATAGTTTAAAGTCACAACTAATCTGGATTTGGAATAAAATACTTATTTATTCGAATTATTTAGTTTTATTATAAATACTATAAAATTAAATATGATTTACATGTTTTCTTTCTGTGATGCGGATTGAAACATATGGTGGATTGAAACACTGCAAGGGGTGGAAGTAACTAATTTTATTTCTTCCTGGCGCTGTAATTAAGTAGCTTTTAGACTGCACATGCATGTATGTGCACACGTACAGTGTCTTGTTTCTCTGCCTGCTTTTTACTTTTTTCATTTCTGTTACACTCTCATAGGCAATAATGTGTTGCAGCCAAGGCAGCAGACAGATATGCTGCAAGGGACACTGCGGCTTTTGTCACTCCACAGAGTTTTTCCAGACACTCCAGCCGGGATTGCCCCACATAGTCCCTCTGGGCCCCCAAATCACAACTCTGGCGCACACACAAACACATGTATAGACACATACACACCCACACACTCAGCAATAACAGCCGCCTGCTGGAACTTCCTGGGCCTCTTAGTCATGCGTCACTTGTTTTCAGTCCCACCCATCGAAGACTCTCTCCCCCTCCAGACACACTGTGCATATCACACACACACACACACACACACACACACACACCGTAAGATCTCTGGTCAAAAAGCTAAAAGGCTGTAAAGGTCAACATTAGTGATGAACAAAGCGGCCTTTAAAATAAACCTTACATGTCCTCAACATGTCTACACACAAAGTGTTTTTCTGCTCTGCTTGTATTCCAGAACAAAATCCCGTAGTACTACATCAGTACTTAAGTGTTTGGGATTACATCACTGGGCAGCTAAGAAAACATAGATGCTGCTAGAGGAAACACATGGGTACAATTAGCAACTTAGGTTCAATCGCCTTTGTTGTAGTGAAGTGTTTGTGGTCACTCACGGTAGATGCTTTTATCGACCCATTGTTTCATATGATTACATCTGTCCCAATTATGCACAGTGCAATCAGTTAAAAATACTGTCGTTTTAACAGTTTAAATACTTTATCAATGTCTATTTGTGTTTGTATTTGTCACAAGGTGATTTGCAGTGCTAAACGCTTTTTAACCAAGCATCGTGGTTATGACCAAATACCTTAAAAACTACTGCAATTCCCATCAGCCTCAGCTGTACTTTGTGATTGTTGTTAATTAGCAAAGGTTAGCATGCTAACACAATGAACTAAGATGTGGTAAACATTATACTTGTTAAACAGCATGTTAGCATTGTCCTTGTGATTCTGTTACCATGCTAGCATTAGCATTTAGCTCACAGATACGCTACCATGGTTGTAGACTTATATAGTTCTTTAAAGTGATGAACACTCACTGTCTATAGACCTTTTCATTGCCATTCTGTTGCTAAGGCAACACCTTTGGTCCAAGGTCACTTCCTGTCAGCTACTGCATTAACAAACATCGCAACAGGAAATACAAAGGGCCCCATTTAGAACATTTATGTTGCCAAGTTTGAAAAAGGTCGATACAAATGTCATTTTGAAAATGTCAGAATGCCGCAAGACTTGTGTACGGGTATTGTGAGTACAGTCTCATTAACCAGCGCTCAGAGAACCGTGTTATGTAATGCAGTATACAGTCAAAGAAAACACTAGGACATTGAGCACAAGACACAAAAGATAGCATGTTGGAAAGACAGAGTGTTATCTGTTCTACCCAGCTGATACATAGCAACACCAAACCGCATACCTCCACAGGAGACAAGAATCTCCCCCCCAAAAAAGCAAAGCCTATAATATTTCTTCATGACATTCCGCGGCAGGTAGACAAGTGTGAAATGAAGACCAAAACAAAAAAGACAACTACAAGGTGTGTGTATGAGAAGAAGACAAGAGAATATTGTCTACTGGAATGTCTGGAGTGTTGCCCTTGGCAGGTACTCTGTGTATGTTTCAATGTGCGTCTGTTTGTGTGGGTGAGGATATGGCGTGTGTGTGTGTGTGGGTTTCCAGACTGTGTTGTTAGAATATTTTTGCATGCATCAGTGGTGGAATGTACCTGCAGTTAGTACATTTACTCAAGTACTGTACTTAAGTACAAATTCAAGGTACTTGGACTTTACTTGAGTATCTACCTTTTTATGAGAGTTTTTATGAGTCTGATCAAGTTGGGTGTCGCTGCTGAAGGCCCAGCTGGAGTCTAAGCTGAGTTTTTACTGAACATGCATGATTTCGTCTAATTTTGCGCAAAAATCCGACCCTGTGGCACCGATGACAAGCATTAAAAATAACTATAAAGAAGTAGCCAATCTTCTCAATGATAGTCTTGTTTACTTAGGTCAATTGAGACTGTTTCATAAGCAGTTAAAAGCTCCACACAGTAACTTCAAGTCATCTTTTAAATGCAGGACTTTTACTTGTCATGGAGTACTTTCACTGTGTGGTATTAGTAGTTTTGCATAAATAAAGGACCTGATTACTTCTTCCACTAGCGTGCACACAGTGTGTGAATGTTTGCATATTTGGTCTCGCAGTTGTACGTCTCGGAGCCTCCACACAGTCGGCACCAGGCAACACTGGAGCTAATAACACAATGCATGGGTGCAGTTACTCCTGTAATCTAAAACTGACCATCAGTGTGTTTACAAGATGTGCTGCTCTGTAGTCTGGGGGAATAGATACCATGTGGGCCTGCTGTGTTTATTAGTGGTACACTGTCCTACTTCAACAAGCAGAGGATCTCCTAACAGACAACTGAATTAGCTGGGTCCTATAGTGGCTGTTCAGCTAGATGTTCAACTGTAAGAAGCTGGTGATAACAAGCAAGCAAGATCGGATGAAATCCACTTTCCCACTCTCACCTTTGCTGAGCTTGCATGGCAGACACACAACGGCATATTAAATGTTTAACCAACTTTTCATGATAACCGACCAACTTTCCATTATAAACAACAAGCAGGTATGTGGGCCAAGGCTTACATAAAATAAAAAAGGTATTTCTGTCTTGTTTCAACACGAGAGCCACCTGAAAAGCTGATGTGAAATTATGGCCCGGGTAATTTTCCAAGCCTCAAATTGCACAATTTGACTCAATTTGAGTTTGGGAAGTAAGTGTAGTGCAATTATCACACTTAATTGACTTTTTTTTCAGTTTTGTGGCTTCATATTTTAACATGAACTCAAACCAGAGTTAATTCAATGACCTTGTCAGTGCCAAGGCAGGGGAGACAACAACCTCATAGTTTATGTGTCTCAGTCAAACGTGTTCCCGGACACTTTAAAACCCCGGAGGAGTCTCACACAGTCCCTAAATGTTTGTTGAAAACCATAACAAAGTGAACTAATCACACATATCAATCAATACATGTTTTATTTACATTCAATATATACGGTATATATATATTTTAAATCCTTCAATACTTTGCTACATTCCCAGTACATTTTCCTCCTGTCAGGACTAATGGGCCAGACCACACACCGAGCCAGATGAGAAGCCATCTCAGAGGTCACGACGAGGAAGTGAGACAATTTCACTAAGAATAATTGGGGACAATTAGCATTTGCACAACTTCCTAACTCTGCTGATTTGTTGTTGGTAATCTGATCCTGACCAGATCCCTGACACACGCTGCTCATTTCCACTAAACCTGTGGGGAGTTTCAGTTGTTGCTTAAAAGGTGATAGTACATACTGAACAAGTGAACCACTAGTTTTGAGTTGTAAGAGCAGTGTCCTTTGCTTGGCTTACGTTTCCATCTTGAGGGAAATCAAAGCATGAACTGATGATTAGTGTCTCATATTAGCCTCGTAATAACAGACAGAGGGTACAAAAATTATGTGTTTCTTAATTTTAACCTTAAATCAAATGTGAGCGTTATTCTACGATGACAGTTTGGCTGATTTAATAGTCTGGTATGTCATACATGACACTACTTTTTTATGAAATAAAGATCATTTCCGAGAAATCCATAGAACGTCATCTGTAGGAGTATAAGACGGGAGTGTGGGCTGTTGTGTCAGTGTAATGATTAATTGTCAAAAGTTAAATTCCATGCACATGTGGAAAATTGAAAGACTTGCCATGTAACAGAGCGAGTCTGGGAAATCATGTTTGAGGCAGACATATTCTGATGGAGTGATGGATCTGATATCTATTAGTTTCAGCTGTGGGACTGAGTTGTTTACAATCCAGTGGCGCGATCCAGAAAGTGGGTGGTCTCCGAAAAACACTCCGCAGTGCCATCACAACATCATTTCAGATCTGAATGTTGGCTGTTAACTTACTGGAAGTAGTACGGCAACTTGGCGGAAATGATACCATGTGGACGTCGTTGAGGGAGAAGCTTGACATACCAGAGGAGGATGATTACGCATCCCTGAAATGTCCGCGTGGGCGTCACACCGTGTGTTTGTAGGGATATAAACAACTCAGGCAGAGGTTGCGTGATGTAATGTGTGTGACTGATCCCATGCTCATAGCAGGTGAGATGTACCCATAATCACACACTCAAATACAGACGAGCACACACACACACACACACACACACACGAAGTGCTGTGCTCCGGTGGATGTGAGGCCGACCTCTCATCGGCCGCACCACAAACCACAACATATAGTGAAAAGAATGAAATATGGAGTAAAGTGGGCAGAGAATTCCTGTGGTCTCATGTTAAGTGTAATCAGGATAGCTCTGAAATGGCTCATAGGATTACTCTGTGATTATGTCATTACCACGGCTGGTGTGACACAGACGCATCACATCCAACACCAGTCAGAGGGCCATGTGGTAATGAGGTCTGTATTACACAGTCATTATGACAACAGCAACTGGGATTGGTCTTGTATTCGACTGGATGTTTGTGTCCAGATACATGTATCAAAAGTGCTCAAAAACTTTATTTTTCAGTCGTGTATTTTCCCGTATAAGAGACCACAGACAGTTTCAACATAGTGCGGCAAATGCTATATTTTAGTGGGTGTTCACTGCAAATTCCTGCGGGGTTGCCACGTTTTCAACTGTGGCGAGAAACACGGGTTTGGTGAGTTGTTTGTGTGGGTGATAGAAGAATTTACAGATGGCTCGCACTCATAAAGGTATGGGGATAATGGGCCTATATGTTCCACATCCGCCTTACGTTACGAGGTGTAGATTAGGCAGTTAAAAGTTTAGATCCGGAACAGTTCTATGTATTCATCCCAAAGATGAGAGATGAAACGAGAGACCTCATTGGACAGAAGTCGTCCTTTGCCAGCGGGCCACACTGAGGTCATGTCTGCAAGCCTGATGACTAAATCTGATTTATGCTTGTTGAATATGTTTTTGTGGATCTTTGAGTCAATCATATGTGATTTTAACACACAACGTGCAGAAAACATTAAAAAATACGTTTATGAAAAAGTGAATTGTTTGTGTTTTATCCATGGGCACAGCAACAGCCCCTCGGTGGCATTTGTTATTTGCCCTGTTCAAACTAACAAAACATCTAATTCCATTCCCAGTGTAATAAAAGGGTACTTGGACGGGAATATAAACATCTCCCTAAAGTCGAACCAGATGCTGCTGCACGGCGGAGTGCAGGATTCAGGGGAAGGAGAGGGAAAGACAGAAAAACAAGGGAGGTGCTTTATACAGGGACGTGAGTCAGTACCCAGGCCTCGGCACTCCGAAACATTCACTCTTCGCCCTCCATCCCCCGTGACCCATCCGCCTAACCCAGAGCAGGAGGATATCCCTGAGGAGACAGGGGAGGAAAGCTCCCAGCCTGGATTTGATTCTCAGATTCTCACACGAGGCCTCTTGTCGGAGAGGCGACTCAGCCACTGCACGCACAGGAGAGGAGGTCTAACCACTGCATGCATGAACTGGGCGCCTGACCCACCACCATAAACTTCAGCATGAGAGGAAATCTGTCCAGTTCCCTTTAGGGTGCAAGTATGATCTCATTTGGCTGACACCGGCTTGACTGTGACACGGTTTGGAAAAATCCAAATTTTGTCAAATGTACGTCAGACACAGTTTCTCAGTTGTAGAATACTCATTGTAAGGTTGTTATAACACAACACAGACGTTATGTTGAGGTGAAACAGGTTGCAAAGCAACAAGTGTGTTTCTGTTTTTAAAAAAGTAAAAACGAAGGAAGACACGTTGTGACAATTATTAAACTTTATGTTGTTTTTGAAATGGCAGTACAAAAATACAAAAATATGTTGATGCATTCGTCATTCAAATTTCACAGTAGGTACACAGGTAGGTGCACATGAGACTGTTATTTACAGGAGAGTCATTGAGATGTTCCATGATGAGAGTATTATATTAAGACATCTGCTTTGAGTCTAAAGATTGAATTGGATCATTTGGCCATTTGTGTCGACCGGCAGGCGAGCAGATTGACTCGTCTCTTGCAGTATAATCAGGTATGTTCAATTGGCCTTAATTGCAGTCCATTCTCAGACTAATTTAATTTCCCTCTCAGTCAGACGATGCTGATTGCATTTGTCTGTCCAGTAAGTTCTTAGAAAGATTCAAATCAAATCAAAGCAGCGAAAACAGCAACGGAATGAACAAGCAAGACCGAAAACAACACGTTTACAGAACAAAGCCAAGCTCTCCACAGCGGAGGTCATCCGAGACTCCTACAAACACAACCAGACAGTTCAGTTTAGTCATCAGCAAGTGGCAGAGAGAGATCAGCATCCAGAGTAAACATGTAAGGGGGGATGGAGGGAGACTATACAGGTTTGTTTAGGCTGAGCCCATCCTCACCTCCAGACAAAAGCCTAAGTACATACAGCACAACTGTCGCTGTCCTGTTCTTGTTCGTTGGCAGAATACAAAGTGGTATCAACTTTCCAAACACACAAGCTATGCTTTCCATCAGCTTGTGGGGGTAGGGGATGTTTGTTTGTGGAGAATGGGAAAAATGCAAAACAGCTGTAAAATGCCAATGCCAGTGGCCGCTATTGTATGTACACAATAAACAAAAAACACAATAAATACATTGTATGCATCAGCTTTCTCGAGGATATATGGATTTGTTACTAGGGTTAAAACATAAATAGAGTTTGATACCTTCTCCAATAAATAGCAGTGGTATTCTATTTACAATATGCACACATCTCCCGAAGAGCCAATGAGATATTTCTGTCTGGAGACACACACATGTTCATCTGCCTCTATTTCCCAAACTAAGATGAACGCAAATTTCTTGCAGGGGTTTTGTAGCTCTTTTTGAGGCAGTTACACTATTGTATGTCTTCCAACAGATGTCTTCCAAAGATGCGCGTTTGTCATTCTGTGTACAAAGGGGGAGGGGGAGTGATTGTCAAAATAAAAAGAGGTCATCATGGGAAGCTAGTGGTGCGACACTTGGAAATGTTTGTGGATCTGACTCATCTCTTGGGAAAAAAGGACTGCGTCAGGAGTTATCCACCTAGACTGAGTTTTCCTCGCTGCCTTCGAAAGCTTGAGGTTTCCGAGGGGGATCTGCAAACAAATAGAGAGTCAGGATGTGCGTGCATGAAAAGCGGTAGAATCCTCATAGTTACAGACAACTAAGAGGAAAAAGGAGAAGGTGACGAGGCGTTTTTGTGGCCTTACTGTTGCAGTGGCTGAAGTGGCGGACTCCTATGGAGCGGCCGAGGAAGCAGGTGGCCCGGCGGAGGTGGCAGGCGCTCGGGTAGGTGATGTTGTCATTGCCACAGATCGGCTGCTCGGACAGCATGGGGATTGGGCACGGAGTTGTGCGGCACATGACGCAGTGAGCACTGTTGGTCTGGTCGGTCACGCAGGTGTGCGTACCCGGACACACCACGTTGGAGCAGGACTCTGTGCGAGGCGCGACGAGGAAGAAGAAAAATAAAAAGTGTGATTTTAGTATTTTTGTGCAGAACAGCTTATCTTGGAAACAGCATCAACAAGATAAACGTGAGCTTACTTTTGCAGTCTCCTTGGTACATGACGTCCAGGTCCGGGTGCCCCATGCAGCGGGCCATCAGCAGAGAGCACTCATCCTTGTATGACCTCCCGTCGCTGCCGCACACAGCGTGCTTCCGGGTAATGTGAGAGCAGTCCGGAGAGCACACACACTGGGGCCTCCCCGTTTTCATTTTGCAAACCTTCCCGGGACTGCATTTCACTCCCTCGCAAGTCTCTACGAAAGCACAGCGAGCGGTTTTCAGTGCAATGTTACTGTATTAACAAGTCTGCAGACATCAGGTGATCCGCAGGCATTCTCAAACAAAAACAAGTCCCGACATCTGGGGTTTTCCCCAGACCACAACACAATTTCCACCGTGCACAATATTTACAATAATCACATCTCTTTATTGACCGTTACACACCGGGGTGACTCGCCTGGTGGAATGCGAGCCTGGCGTGTTTTCATAACAGATCTATGTGTACGGCTGCACACAGACTGGGCTAAGCTCCCCGCGGAGGGACGGAGGGGCTCGGAGGTAGGACGAAGTTCAAATAGCTGTCAGAGACGTTTACGGGCTGAGAGATGAGGAAGCCTCGGGCTCCTCTGACACCCCATAATGTCAGAGCACAGGGGGAACTGTAATCCTACACAGTGCAGAGGCAACATTAGACAATGCACACAGGTTTCTTCCCAGGACCTTTAGAGGTGATGTCTGATCCACTCTGAGTCCTGAGAAATCTATGTCCTGTCTCTACCAGCACTTCAATATCCTGCTTTATCACAGAGTTGTTGTTTTTTTCTCTCTTACTCTCCTGGTCTAACTTTCAGTTGATTTCTATCTGTGATTTTGTTTCATACTGCAGGTCCTCTCTTCTATCTCCTCTGTGTCTCCTAATAACTTTTGTCATCTGTAAACAAGCCACCGGTCAAACTTTCATTTTAATACCCACATTTTCCTCCCACAGAATTCCAAATGATCAAGACATTATGAGTCCCAGACGTCTGAGCACGTGGCAGGCATTTATTCCAGCCTAGAGGAATGCATTTCTTTATTTTGCTCATGGAAGCAAACACTGCAAACCTATTTTTCTTTTTAACTAGCTTTAGAAAAAGTGAACTCATAATGGAAGAAGGGAAGGAGGAGGACAGAGGTTGTGATTCGATCAACTTCATTCTTTCTCCATGTGAAAGTTATTTACATTTTTGTGAGTCTTTTCTTCACAAAGCTGCAGGCTACCTTTGATAAATAAAACCCACATCTCCGTGTCTCTAAGCTGTGTGACGAGGCCATAAAACCCTGGGATCTGTGGTTGGGCGTGCTCTTCAAAGAAAAGCCAGAAGCCAGCTTTTTACTGGACCTTATCAGCATGGAGATATCCACATGTTTTGGCCTATAAGCACCACATTGCAAGTGTTGACCATGGATTTGTTTGCAAGTGAACCTGAATGAACCTTGCAGAGATTCCAGGAGGGGAATCTTCTCGGGACAGCCGCGTGGAGTTAAGTGGAACGATCCACGTCTGCTTTTTGTTCGGACGCTTCACCGAGAACTCACTGTGTGAATGTTGATTCACAAATGCTGTGGTTTTTGAATAAACTTTCACTAGAGTTATTTAGTGTAACGGAGGAGCCAACTTCTGTTTTACGTCTGCAAGAAGAACTCCCAGTATTTACCTTAAAACTACACCCCTGACAGTAGCGTAGAGCCCTAATGTTTACTCACAATGTGACTGTAAAGAATTTAAAAAGTTTATTACAGCATTTACCTTTCGGGTTACATGCGATGACTAATACCGTGCCCCGCAGCAATAATAAACAAAAGCAATATTCAGCAGATTCAACTAATTACTTTTTCGAAAAGTTCTGTTTGTTTACCTTTGCAGGGTTTACAGGAGACGATTCCCAGGAAGCCCAGCAGGCTGACCTCATTCATGGGCAGGCTGCTGTTGGACCACGCTGTGTCCAGGCGGCCGCCGGCACAGCACTCCTCCCGGGTCACCCCTCTCATCAGCACCATGTCGCACCTTTGGTCCTGACTCTGCTGCAGCCAGCACATCCCAGCTGGAGATAAAAACAAGTTGATTTACTCTTAACACATATAAACTCATGTACAAACACATTCAAAAGTGTATGATATCGTTCAGAGTTACTTTCAAATGGACTTCTTCTAGTCAACATCCAGTAAATGAGCTAAAAGGCTCATATATAAGCTTTGATATTGATTGTGTATATATTCCTTAATAAGTATGAATACAAAGATTAGATAACATCTCTACTGTAGTAGCAAATAAAAGTACATAAATATGTGTTCTGGTAAAAAATAAAAGTACCTCATTGTTATAAAGAGGATTCATGATTTAAAAGCATGGTGGTACTACTTTTTCAAAATACAAAAATAAAAAGTCCACTCACCGCTGGCAGGATTCTTCCCAATCTGATACAAAGTGAGAATCACCCCAAAAACAGGAATGAAAACGATCATTGTGAACTCTAGTTGGCACAAAACCTTTTTCTTTTTTCCTCTGAAAGCTCGTCTCTGCAAATATCAGCAAGGAGCAGTGATGTGTCTCCGGCAAACACTCGAACTCAACTCTGGAAGTAGCTCTCCCTCTTATGTGAATGAATGTGTTGTGGATGAAGTGATGTCGTTCCCCCTCTGTATAAATATTTAGCCCAGATGGAATTATGCTGCTGGGATGGGCGATCCTCTCAGCCAGTAATAAGCCAGGGCAGGACTCAGTTGGACTCTGACTCAATTTCCAGAGTCGGGAAATGATCCATGCCCTCCAGCGCCAGACGCTGGGCACTTACATGACCTCACTAAACATTTTCACACCATACTAGACTCATTAAGGGCCTAATTAAGTCCTAGAAATGTGAGTGTAAGTGGATTTTAGATTAGCTTTTTCAGTATTCAACTTTTTTTTTCTTCATACATTATTGAATAGACTGATTGAATTAGCTGTTCAGGTATCTGGGAAAATACTTTATTACCTAACAACCTCTAACTGTGCCCTTAGTCCGGTGGATGTTTTGCTCTGTATTGTCTCATGTCTCTCTTTAATAATGTGGCACAGCTCAGAGGTATTCATTCTCCTCACAAATCATATACTGTTTGAGCATGGTAGTTTTCTGTCTATAAAGCTGCTCTGTCGGTTTTGGAGGGAAAGTTAGGAACGACATTCTTATTTCTCATCTCATTATTGGGCTCCAACAATAATCCCTTAAAGCGAAGTGATCCAGCATTGACCCTAAAATCTTCATTCTTTGTCGTGAAAATGCAGAGGAAAGGCAGTTCCGCAGCCACAAAGTGGTTACTAACTACTGGCCTTATTGTGCTGAATCGAATTAATATCAAGAGGCAAAGACATATCCGCAGCGACAGTCCTTGGATAGATAAAGTCGTCTGCCCCTCCAGCATTGCCATGCCTCGTTTAGTTGACTGTCTGGGTTTGTCAATGCTGATATTTCACTCTACAGCTGCAGTTAGAGCGATACAGAGAGATGAGGGGGCTGTGGGGCTGAAGGTGGTCTGCCCTTGAGCAACATATCAAGCTCAATAAACACAACAACGTTGGAGCTTATCAAGGACATTCATGTCCCCTCATTTCTAGTCGATGATCAAACACAGACAACCACAGCAAGCGAGACTGAAAACATATTGTGGAATATTGTGGATATGTATACAGTATCTGTGGAATAGACACCATTAAGTCTTTAAAAAAAACACTCAGGTAACTAGAGGCTGATCTGCATTAGCATCATGTTTGATAAGAACATCTGCTCCTCTCCTCTCTCTTCCTGCACTCGTTCACCTCCCGACATTGAGAGGTACATGCTGTAATGCCAAAGTAATGAGAGTCTGCCCATCTGTCTGTCACCAGTTCTTTTTTTATGTTCCCGTTTGATCGTTGCAGGAGAAGAAATGAAGGTAGCATGTGTTGTAGTATCTGAGTCTTTGTGAATGATGTTGCCTTCTTCGGCGGAGATCCCCAGGGCACCGAAGGAATGCCGCCTGACCTAAGAGGGGGCGGCGGTGGGTGGCCTGCCTCCTCCCCGGGTCTCTGCAGATCCACTCAGCCCCTCATATGGTTTGGATCACCACTGCCGAGCTATACAAATGAATACAGCATGCTGGGGACTTTGGAACGCCCTCTAATGTATGATTTTTATTAGGGTCCCAGTCTTTGAGAAATGTTGGTTTCTTTCAAGTGGCCGGGATCCGAGGGGCAGCATGAAATTGAAGAAGCCCGTCGCGAACTGTGTCTAATGTGAAATAGGGTGAGTGCATCTCCACGGGGCAGGTGTGGAGCTCAGTTTGTCACACTGTACATTTATTTTCCTGTTAAAAACAGAAAAGGCAAAAACGTCACTGCCATCTAGTGGAGGAGGTTTGCAGGCTGAAAAGCAGAGATGGGTTTGTCAATTTTCATACCCAGATAAAGTTCCAGTGATGTGACTCGAGGTTATCTACTATATTCTAGCATGAGAAACAAGACAAATAGACTTGATTCTGTCTGTCACTGTAGCTTATAGTCATTCAGGTCTTTGGCTTTAAAGAGGTACTGCACACTTTTTTTTAAACTTTAGATATATAACATATATAAATAGCATGCTAGCTAATGAAGGTACGTTAACCAAGTAGGTCATGTCAGAGATGAAAAACCAGAAAGCAGTCAATGGCATTTCTTAAAGTTACTGCGAGGAACTTCCATTGTGTGTTGATTTTTGCGGTCCCTGTGGACAAAAGTGGTATTGTTTCCAAGCACCAGATCCCTTTTCTAAAACCTCTCATTTTACTGCAGCACGGTCTGTCAGTCTTAGCAGCTCAGTCCTGGTTCTGACTCTCCCGCGCCTCGTCTTCCCTCCAGAAGGCCCAGCAATCTTCGGGCCTCCAGCAGCGTGGTGTCGGTGTTGGCTCCCAGCGGAGCAGCGAGGAGAAGCTCTGCTCCTGGCCATAGAAAGAGCCAATCGTCTCGCTGACGGTCTCGTTTGCTTAAGTAGGTCATATAAAATCACCAGTGTCAAATAGAGGCCGTTTCATAACCAGATAAAAGCTTCTTGTAGTAACTTTAACGGAGGTTTTGCATGAACCTACCGTCATTCATTTTGCTAGAACTGTTACAAATAAGGTTAGCTAACGGTAGTTTGGCTCGTAGCTAAATAATGTTATGGCACAATGTAGCCGATCTTTAGTTAACAATTACGGTAAAAGAAACTGTTGCACTACTTAAACATTTTGTGGGGCGATGTTTAAGAGGCATATCCTTACACTTGACCACATGTAGCATTACAGCAATGAAGCTGCAGCATACTGCATTACTGGAGTCCATGCTGTAGAGTTGCAACTGCAACTAACCAAAATGACCAGCTGAGGGCGCCCCTTGTCCGTCTCTCGATCCTCCATCCTTCCTTCAGCCAGTGTTTGCTCATCTCTGCAGCCTCCATAAATCACCATATGCCCCCACTTAATAAAAAGTAATCCAGCCTTTAAATTTGGGCATCAACGCTCTCCCAAATGTAATTTATACTTGTTGTCTCCCAAGATACATCTGTCATCTTCTAGATACATAAGTGGTGTCTGTCACTGTGCCTGCCCCGAGGACTGACAGCAGCCATGTGGAGCTGTTACAACACGACCACAGGACCTTGAGTATAAGTCACATGTTTTTTTTCTTCTTTCACACCAATAAGTTGGTTCACTTCAAGGTGACACATTTATCCTGTTTGGTCGTGTATTGCTTGTATCTATATATTTCTTGAAAGACACTCATCTATTTCCCCATGAATGACATTATTTCTGTAGCTACTTTGTGAAGCGCGTCCTTCATTTCACAAGTAAAGGACTGCACTCTTGACTGATAGAGGGTATGAAGCCCATATCTCTGCGTGAAAGAAGCCACTTGTTTTATTGCCGTATAGAAGATAGAAACCCACGCACCCCATTGCTGTCCTCTCACTGGCCTATCTTGAGTCGTAGTGCTGCTGAGTGCATCACGCGGCTAAGCAGCGCTCAGCAGTGGTAATTGCTTCATCTGACCCCGGCCTGGCTGAAAGCAGATGCATCATCCATCCACTCAATTTACTCCTAATGTGTGTTACTGATTGAACCGGCAATGAGGGTAGGAAAAGTGACGAGGCCGGATAGAATCCCCCCCTCTGTCCCTGTGCACACAACTTTCCTCCTCCACCATCACCCTCCTCTTCCCCACTTCCTTCCTGTGTTTAGCTTTGACCATGTGAAGTCCCCTCCAGCGGTTCAATTAATGGGGAAGGTTAATGTTGACGCACGCGCTGCCCATGCAAACCTTCCCCCCCCCCTGTGCCCCAACATCACCCTCTTCCGCTCTCTTGAGCCCCCTCCTTGCCGTCTCACTTCGTAACCAGAGCAGGGCACTGGCGTGGTCGTGACTAAGGGTCTCCCTCGGGGTCAGAGTGACTGTCACTTAGATCGCTCTGCTCGTCCCCCGGCGTGCTGGTGTAACCCCCCCCGCTGCTCACCTCCTCCTGCACTTATGAAGACTTGGAACAAGCTCTCAAGTGTTTGTATTCAACTTGAATTCGACCTTCATGACCCCGGAGTCTCCAGACTTATCAATAGGTCTACAATATGATAAAATACACATTAATATTGTCTCTGGAAGGGTTTCTCGGTTGAAAGTCAAGTAATTGTGTAAGAAAGAAAGCAGTAATTGCTGCCGATGCCACTATTTAGTATCAACATTCATATATAGCCAACATATTGGACAACAAATATAGTCTGTGTCACATTACTGTCATACGTGGAGATGAAAGTATCTAATTTGTCGTTTCATGGCTGATGACTGGAACTGCCTCAGTCAATAGTTGTGGTTCCCTCATTACAATATTTTAACTGGTAATTTCCTTAACTGTGTTAAGTGGTGATGGACTGCTGAGTGCGGGGGATGCAGGAAACGCCAGATATGTTTCCTGGAAAAAGTTTCCTGTGTATCGAGTCTCATGGCGTTTCATCACTTTTTAGTATTTTTCTTTTTTTTTTTTTACTGCGAATCAATATTGCCTCTGTATTTTCTTTATAGAAGCGCTGTGACCAACACAAACGCTCAATTCAAAATGCCATGTGGTCTGTTTTTGTGAATTATTTCTGATACATGTTTGTGAGTGCTTGCACAGTGAGGACCATGATCTGCTGCTGATCACGGGCAGAGAGGGTCATGTTTGACCTGCATGTTGCAGGAGTTAGCGCTTGTGTGAGGGGTAGTAATTGTCAATTGGTTATGTCCCGTAACTTTTCCTAACCACAAGGAGATGGAGAATTCAAATGGACTTCCGGAAAAGACAACCGCGTTACTCAAAGAATGTGACTATTTAAATTAGGCAACTCTATATATAACATAGAAATTGAGTACAGTGACAAACTCGACAATGTACAATTCAAGTCAAAGTTTCCTGTCCAAAACAGACTCTCGCCTCCTGAGAAAGATGCTTTTAATTCATCCATAATGTACAATAAAACAGCAACAGGTGGGTCGAATGGTGAGTTGCTTTGAATGTTGCTATTGCAAGGCATTGTGGGACAGCATCCTTTCCGTTTGTAAATGATGGTCCAGTGTGTCCTAAAGGAGATAAGAAAGGAAGCATTGTATCTACCTTAGTATTTAGAG